CATGTTGAACCAGTGAAAGTAGATGCACAGTTGCCAAGGTAGAAGATGTGTGAAATTTCCCAAAGACAGCAGGGAAGTAGGATTGAGTGATTGCTAATTACATGGTAGAATTCATCTATCTACATTGGTGTAACATACGATGATTGACGGCGTGAGTGTTGTAGACCGCATTGGAAAAGCGAACGTGCCTATTTCTTGATTTTTAGGCATAAACCCATCGAATTATAATACTTCTATTCTAGAATGTACATGAAGAACTCTAACCAACGGAAGTATTCTAATAAAAATAACTTATCCTAGTGAATGTACACAAAGTTATCAGAATAATTAGATTTATTTTTATTTTCATTACAAACATTCTATCTAAAAATCACGTCTCGAAATTGGATATAAGGATTTGATTTATCAATAGATTAGCAATTCCAGAAATTGCTATGATTGCTTTTTTGATGAAGTTCAATCTAATTTGAAATAGAAAATAATTACATTTGAAGTATTAGATTCGCTTAATTATCAATTCTCTATCAAAATTATGTGTAACCATCTTCAATTCAAACTTAACATAATCATGTTGAATTTTTGAGGAATGATAGTGAGTGGTTTTAGATGCGCGTAGAACCCTCTTAGATCCCGCTCATGTAAGAAAACGGCCCTCTTTCTCCCGAGTCTCATCTACAACATGTCCAGGGTGAAATAAGGCGAAGGCCCCTCTAAAACACCTGCACCGGTATTGAATCTGTAATGCCGACGTCGTCGTTATCCATGGGGCCATCATCTCGTATTGACCCCGACATGAATAAGATTCTCTCATGATTGGCTTCTCATCACTTCTTGAAGATCGATGTCTAATTTGATTGATGTAAGCCCAGCAGGCATTGCCACATTGAACAGCCTCGTGGTGGACATCATATCCCCTGTACGGCATTTCCAGATGAAGTTTCATCATGCGTGAGACGAGAGAGAGAGAAAACATTCGATAATTCCACATGACCAGCAGTCTCGAAGTATCCCACTGTGTTTGGAAAGGATCAGATTGTGGCAATGTTTGCGAGAATGTAGAATCAAAAGAAAAAATTGCCATGGCATGATTTTGCAATGTTCGTCCATTGTTTTACTTACACCAATGTCCAAAACAGTACGGTCAGAATAGGCAAGATGAACGAGGTGTGTTCAACAAGCATGCATCCTGTTCTGGTATAATTCGCTTTTAGAACCTTTTCAGTCAACCCACAGACCGCTCTCCTCATCATCTTGTAGAATCATGACCATGAGCCCACTTAAGGTCACGGACATTATGTTCAAACGCCGTATTACCATGAGACAATTTGGGGGGCATCATGTGGAAACATTGCTAAGATTGTACAGTAAATGCTCAACGTGGACACGGTATCTTTCTCTCCCAGAGCCAACATGGCGAGATAGCAAATTGGAAGCTTTCGAAACGGCGAAACCGAAAGTTTCGTCTACAGATTCGGGGATCTTCGCGGGCATGATCGCCGACCCATACTGCTCGTGCCACTTTTTTCCCTCTTTGCCCACTTCGACCGTTGGGCAGCTGTGCACTCTCAGATCGGAATGCACCAGGGTGCAGCGCTTGATAGAAGACTGAGGAAGAAAAGCGTCTGTTACCCAGTGAAATTAGGAGGATTTATTTAATTTGATGGAAGCGGATCTCGACCAGGGCCACTCCAAGTGAAATAAGTAAGTGAGCATCTGCAGTGACATGCCCATTGCCCATGTAGAATGGATGTTACACAACACTTTGGTGGGGGTATCCAGGCCACTGTACGGTAGTTGGGGTTCGAAGTCGGTACTGAAATCTGGTGCAAAATGAATGTGGACAATCCCCCCGCTAATCTAGGATCTACCTTGAAAGGAGATGTGAGACCAATACTCGTGCGGCCACAAAGTACCTGGTATGCAACTCCGCCACTAAGAGAGAAGGGGGCTAATCCTCTTATCGTCTAATGACATCGTGGTATGTGCATCTAGCTTCATAGTTAGCACTAAATACACATTTTCCTTGCCTGCACGAGTATCTTGATTAGGCCCAAGTAGATCATGGTTCTGCTAGTCGATGGAACTTCGGTCAATTTCCGACCTTTTCGCCGAGTTATACATGGCCGTATATAGGCCAATAGTATCATGGGAAATGTGCATTAATTTACTTGACTTGGCGCGGGACGTTTTACACTAATTTGGAGGAGGCAGGACATACCATAGGTGGACAGTGGACATTCGAGTTAATTTGGGTGCAATAAAATCTTCAATCTTCCAAGCTTCCAATCTTCACATAATCTTTACAATCTTCAAAGATTGAAGCAGAGCAGGGGGGGGCAAAAGAGCGAGGGACTTCCAGATCGATAACCCCCTTCCCCCCCTTTCCGAATTCATCACAATGATTACTCCGTACTCCGTTCTGCTTAGAAATTCAGCCTTGGCGTTTACTTTTGCTGTAATTAGATAATTAAGGGCATAATTAAGCAGATGTATGATATGAGCAAGTATCGGGAAATACCCACGCTATACGACCTACAACCTACAACCTACAACATACAACGATGATTGTGGTTATAATTATGTCAAGCGGGGACTCGATCGATGCTATCATGGGTGAATGTACCTGATTGGCGCTTGATTGGCTGTGATGAACTAACTACCCAACTGTCTCCTTTGCTCCGTTGATCGGACTGAATTGAATCGAATATCGAAGTTTGAAGTCTCAAGTTCTTCACTAATGATTCAAACGATCTCTCGGATAACCTTAAGTTCGAGGCCAATGGTCGGTCGATCTCCTAACTCGAATTCCCTGTTCACACTACTCACACTATTGGGAGATATGATCGAATGAAGATTTGATCACAGCTTTTCTCGTTCACTCCAGTTTCTTAGTCCATTCAATAGAGAGAAAAGCTCGAGGAAGGAAAGTAGAGTAACCCAAAATCTCAAATTTCTACAGCGATGCAATCCACCATAAAGCGTACATTCCACGTATGTTTTTTTTTCTGCTCGGTATTGTGTCGTGTCGATACTTACGGAGTAGATACACCGAAGGCCTAATGGGCTGGCAATGCGTGTTATGTAATCACCGTAGCGATAAATGTTGAATTGTGAACAACGAAGATTGAAATGACGATCTTTTGATGAAATCTTAGTAGAGACGATGGAATTATGATACTGAGTTTTTGGGATTATATTGAATGTACCTGAACTTTTACTAAAATGGTATCTGAATAGTAGATTCGAATTGTAATATTTTTTATTCTATATCTAATTCGGTACAATTTCAGTAAAAAATGAGGATAAAAATAGTGTAAATTCGAATAAACGAGAGATTCTAAATTTTCGAGTCCTGAATCTATTCACATCTTAAGTATTAGTATTTTACAGAATAATTATATATATTCAAGTTTATAACACGCTCTCGAAAAGCTTACTAATGATACCTATTTGGAAATGACTAAGGATTTGATTAAAATCATGGTAAATGTTTCGAGGATTGCTAATAACAATATCTACTACCTACTATCAAATCTCTTCAAGTCGATATCTCTTTCATCATTTCACCTGAGACCATTTTTTATGTCAATCGTGAAATCGGAAGAAAGCTGTTGAGCTAATCTCTCCAAGTTGATAATTCTTTCATCATTTCCTCCACTTGAGACTATACTTTTGATGTCAATTGTGAAAATTTCGATTCTCTAATCACCAAATCGTATTAGAGTTTGGTAATATTGGGGATCGACATTTACCACATGAACACCATCACGTACTATATTGCCATTTACAAAATCTATCTCTGAGGGTCGTTATTGTACAATGTTCGCTACACACGTCGGTGTAGAGGAGAGCACACATAACCATCTGGATTGCTTCTACTGTATCTTCACGGATGGCAACTTGCAAGGACTTGGGCCATTCAAAAGTGGCCAATTTTTCAGGTTGTGTCGGACCAAATCCGATTCGTCAATCTTCACGGTAAGTCCTAAGCATTTTGCACCTACATATCTCGCGTACACACTTTACTACGTAAGTGGCGCTACGTGAGCTCCAAGTGCGGTAAATAGTCTAAGCCTCCTAACGCCAATGGTTACTGACATTCCATTCTTTCCATGATGGCGAACAACTAGATAATGACGATCGATCACTTTCCTGTACCACATCGTCCACTACTTTGCGACTTAAACTTTCTTCGGTCTCTCTCAACTCAGATCTATGAACTCCCAGGAAATAATATGAATCACGGCCCGGTTTTAACAACACGGAGATATATTGTATGTTTGTGCGCATCTGAACCCATACTGACCAAATCACACAGACGTCTCTGAAAATACCGTGAAAGTTCATCGCGAAAGGGCAGAAGTCGATATAAGGAGGATGGTAAAAGTGTGCTTCGTTTTTAGCTCTAAAGTCAAATAGATTCACCGTTAAAGTTTGTGCTCGGATGTTTTCTGGTGGTTTGTGTACTATACTGGTTCGAAGCCCACTGGAACATGAGGGATCGAAAACTCTAAAACATTTCCAAGAACGATTACACTTTGGGTGTGCTGTGTATGAGGCTACAGTATTTGTGCTGGTCGGTGGGTGGCAACGGATAGGGCCATGAAGTCACTCTAACCCAACCATGGAGAGCTAGAGCACATTTGTTCAAAGAACAGAAGTAGCATCGCAGAGTTTGTATACGTATAGCCAGGCTTCTCGTTTTTTTTATTTCGGTAAAGGATCATAGAAGCATCTTGTGTGCCACAGAACAGACACCGCTTCAACTGCGCCCAGAACTGTAGACTGCGTGGTACACAATGAGGGGGAGAACCAGACGAACCAGGACTTTACACAACGGCTCGCAAGGAATTGCTCACTCATTAGCCACTAACGATTAGGGATCGTGCGCATTGTCTCTCCAATCCGTATGCGTCGTTCGTCTTCAGGTGCACAGTCGCTATCTAGTGTTTCTCAAAGTACAAGAGGCCTAGAAGATCGTTTCGAGGATCAAAAACTAGACCGGGTATGGTACCTAATACCGAAAATCCACCGGGTCATTCTGCTACGGTTCTGCTCAGGAGGTTCGAGAATGAATCTCAAGATGTAGGAGCTGCTGCGGCCTTGGATACCGAACCGTGCAGACGTAGGAATTGAATTTCTTTGTAAAGTTTCGAGAAACAAACGTCTTTCTCACACAGTTCGGACATCTGTTCCATTGGAGCATCACAAGATGTTTCAACTTGCACAAAAAAATGTAATAATAGAACATACACTGCTAATAATGCTAAGAAAGTCGTCCACCTTGAAGATTTGACAGCCAAGACGAGTTTCCAGCTTGTCGACGGAGAGCACCCACTACTTCCTTGCCATGAGAAACTCTGATCACAGCCAAGCCAGTACAGATCCCAGATAAGCAGAATACCGGTACCCGCCTGCAACGTGCTCCTCCGTACATTAACTTTCGGGAGGTGGCCCCGTCTGCATCTTTGACACTTCCTAATGGCAACTCAAAGGAAATACAACAGGAACTCTACGAAATGTGAATTTCCGGGTCACCGGCTTGACCATCAATTGAAACTAATGGAAAAGAGCCTTTCTTTCTTAAATTATCTCGCTACCTTGTAGCATGATAATAAGTATAACAAGCATTAAGCATTCTTCATACTAATGCTTCCCCGAGAAGCAGCAGCTCTCACCTCCCTGCAAAGACCATGTCACGAAGAGCTAAGCATTTTCAAGCGTGAATTTTGTATCATTGTTATCTATGGAGTGGTTAGGTATCACGTATAGGATACTAATGCTTTTACGATATCTTCTGCTGTGATGTTCCATTTGTTCAGAGAGATGTCGTATAGTGATTTCGGCTCTTGTGAATCCATGTTGTACAAACGATGTAGAGCCAAAGCCAGTCCGCAGCACACCCTGTCAATTAATATTGGAAATAATTTGCTCAGCTGTATTATGTATGAAATCAAATCTCGAGAATTCAAATTACAGGCATCAAACTACATTCTACGGAGATTTCCCACCTCCAAATGAGCAAATCCCAGCACCTGGTTGTGAGGGCGGGCATGAGGGATGGAGCGCAATGCATCGCCATCACACAGGCATTTCGTTCTACGCTTGTAAGGACTATATCCCAGACAAGTATTGACCCAAGCAGTCGTAGTGTCGACACGTTACGATTCACCAACTCACCAGCCGTGCTTTATCTTCGTTTATTAATGGGTGTGTCCGCTGGGTATGGGTACGGTGTGGTATATACGGTGTATTATTTTCAGGTTCTTCAAATTTAAAGGTTTGACGCCTGGACCACGGATAGCCCTGAACATTGGAATAAATTGAGTCTTGAGTCTTTGACTCTCAATCTCAAGAGTCTTCGAGTTCAGTTCCTGCATCTTAGGCGCAATACAGCTCCTCATCCCTTGCAAATTGAGAGTTGAACAAGATGCTAGCACCGGCGATGAACCATTCAGAAAATAGCCGGACCCCATGTAGAGTTAGTTGGAGACCTAAGTGAAGTGATGCACAGATATGATGATTGATCACTAATTAATGGGAAATACACAAGTCATACATGAGTACATAGCTACTACCTAGTTACTACTTTTCGTCAAGTCTTGGTATGTCCACTTCTTGACCTCACCTACCAGATGGATTTCCACTCGACTAATAGGTTCTAACACGACTAAGAAGACTAAGACGACTAACTGGACTAACACGACTTAAGTTATAACACACCTACATGCATTACAGATTACAGATTGTCGATGATAGATTGCAGAGTGCAGCGTACCGAAAATACCAATTAGTTTCTCGGAAGATCAGAAAAAGTCCGTTGCACACAGGTTCTGATCAGTAGTTTTTCGAACGGGATGCCTGGGTCTGAGTTCTACTTCCTAACTCGTTGGAACCAGACTTGACTCGACTCGACTGGACTGGACTTGACCGGTGAATGTAGCAAGCCAATGACATAAGATAACATAACTCGTAACTCGTAACTCGGAACTCACAACTGGACAATAATAATAAAGTGTAAAAGTCTGGAATCGTTGATACTACTAGGGAGTCCGTCTATTACCACCACTCCACTTTTCAAACGTTTACTCTTCACTCCTTCCCTCCTTAAGTTAAGCGTAGATATAGAGAGATAAAATTCATTGCTTTTTGCTTTTGCTTTTACTATTTAAATGATAGTAAAATGCTGCTAGATGGTTAATAAATACTAAATCGTTACTACATCATGTGAGTCGTGACTTAGTATACCTACCAGTACTTTAGCTCGATTTCTCCCCCGCAACTTCTCTCAAACTCTCTTTTTTTCCAATTTGCTCTTTCTATTCTGGAGATTTGGTTCATCACTTCTATCTTCTTATTGCCATATCATCCCACACGTAAATGAGAAAAAGCAAAAGCAAAAGCAAAAGCAAAAAGCGAAAGGATCGAAAGAAAAGATTATACTCTTTTTCTTCCAATTCATCCAACTATCATCATCAATCGTCCATTTGAATGGAATCTTTGCTCTTCGCAACCAAGCAAGCCTGACCTCAAAACCAACATCAACTTCCAAACCAGCATCCAGCATCCATCAGCCATCGTACTCGGAATCGACCTCGAACATCCATCCACCGGAACGTATCGAACGAGAGCCCAAGCTCAAAAGCCCCATCGTTTACATATATACCCGTACCTCGTCATTTCGACCTCAAGAACATCAAATATCCTCATAATTCTAAAGAAAGACAAAAAAAAGCTTTACCAGCAATTTGACATTTCCACATAATAACTTTCCATAGTTCAATATTGAACTTTGTTTTTTTCAGCCTTATTCTCCCACCGAACTTTATATTTATTAGTCGTTGTTGTCACTCAGTGGAGTGCCAGCTATCATTGGGTCTCTTCTTTTCTTCCCACTTAACATTATCTCGGCTTGAAAATTCGATATTTCTCAATATACATTGTTCATTGTTCACTATTCGATATTCGACATTCGATCTTGAATCTATTACTACTCGTCCAACACACCAGGAGTATATCACCACTACTACGTTACTACATCCATCACCTTTTCCCGACGGTCCCTTTCTTGCTTAACCTTCTTCTTTCTGTCAGTCAACTGTCGTTAGTACACATTACAGCCTACCCACCCCATATAGTTTCACATCAGTCTCCATGATGGCATCGTTAGGTGCTTCTATGCCTATGCCTGTACCGGTTGCGGTAAATGGTACTCTTAAGCCAACCTGGTATGGCTACATCCCCGACACAAAAGCTGCAATGATCCTTCTCGAAGCTGCCTTTACTGGAAAGATTAACCATATTGCCCGTCGCCCCCATGACAAGGAGAGATCTGAACTCATCAAGAGCGGCAACATTTTCATACACGAAGCACAGTCATCTGGAGTAAAACGATGGACCGATGGTACAACATGGAGTCCAAGTCGCATGGTAGGAAACTTCCTTGTCTACCGAGAGTTGAATAAGCCATTTGCACCAGGAGAGAAAAAGAGAGCCATGGCCAAAGACAAGAGACAAGGCATTCGCAAGAATGGCAATGGTTCCACCAGTCCCGGAGGCAGCGTTTACTCTTCTATGCATGGACCACTCAACAAAGAGATGGAACGTGAATTGGTCGGTTCGCTAGTTGATTCATACGACTTCAAGAAGGACGGTAATTGTCTCATCAAGAAGACAATCACTGTCCAAGTAGGAGAACTCACTCATCACATTGTGTCATATTACACAATCGATGATGTCGTCTCCGGTAAACTTTCAATCCCACAAAATGCATTCCCAGACGTCAAGCCGCGTAGGGACATTATCTACAGCAAAAGCTACAAGCACTCTCCTAACGACTCTAATCTCTTGAATGAAGACGACGTACATGAAAGCCATCTTGCCTACCAACACAATTCAGGACGGAGCAATTACGACTATTCGAATCGAAATGCGCCACGACTACCCGCACCATCCGCGCATGGCATGCCATATCAACCCAACAGCCTTCTCTCCAACAACAACTACACAATGGGCATGTCAGCCGCACCATACAGTCTCGCGCCATTCAACGGAAACTTCCCTGCAGTAAGCTCAGGTTCAAGCTCTTACAACACCATTCTCTCTGGGAGCCCAAATTCCATCAGTCCTTATACCGGAGGAATACCTGCGACAAGTTCGCATGGCTCTACCTACGCTCAATACTCATCAGCCCCAAGCACGTATGACACACAAAGGGCTGATGCATACAACAATGTCTACAGACAGCAGCGACATGGTTCAATCTCTAACATGAATGCAACACCCCTTGCTCACCGATCTTCGAGTTATGGCCAGCAAGGACTTAGTTCTGGAGTATCCGAAATGGTATCGGGGATGCCTGCCATGATCCAAGGCCAAATGAGCTCGAGGAGTTCGCACGACTCGGGGGCGTCTGGAATGTTCCAGAGCCAAATGGGCTCGAGAAACTTCAATGAGAGTACATACGCTTCTCCAAATCTATATCAAACAAGAGATGCAACCACTCCTTCGCATGGCTATTCTCAAGCGCAGCGAACCATGTCGCAATCTAACCAACCATATAACACACAAGCTGGCAATCAATATCCTCAAAACATGGAAACCTCGCCGGGAAATGTCAGCACTGGCCATGCTCATTACAACGTGGACCATCAAACTTGGCCTTCCTCAAACGGTCTTTAGAAGCTGTTGATTCAAAATGTGGCAGATAACTTAATATGCCAAATTTGATTCTCTTTTCTTCAGAATCGGATCTCCTGTATCATCCAGCTCCTACCTTTCCTCCTACGCCATAAATTTCTCCCTTACGCCACTACGCTCATCCTAATAACGGACGCGAAGCTGGAGAGTGAGCATAACTTCTTTGTATATTTTGACGATACATTTAACCTCTTTCTTCGGAGGAAATGTCTCATGATCGTTACCATTTTGCAGCCTTTCTGTATCGATAGGAAGCTTTTCCTTTGTTTTGGTTATTTGAAAACGGCTTATGAGACAAAGTCTCTTTTTTGGCAGTTGAGATGCCGGTTCTTGAAACTTTTTACTTTGATTTTAATCGTTTAAATACATGTATGTACGTAGGTATGGGTTACGGGTGACTGCCGGCGCCAGGGTATATATAAGTTCGTGTGTGTATATGGGTTACGCATGGTCGCTGGCGCAGGCGTACGTGTACTGCAGATATTTAGCAGCAATATTCTTGGAATGATTGTCGGGGCGGATACCATTGTTATACCATTACTGAACGATGATCCCGATAGGTGTCATTGATTCTTGGTTTTGTAGGCGTTGTTGAAATTATCCGTTTTATAACTGTGTATTGAACAGTCTTATAGAGGTCAATCGAGCGAGCAGCTCCTAAATAGGCTTGAATTTGTAATTAAATATTGATATTCTTAAAGAACTTGGGGAAAATTTATTATGAACGTGACTTTTGCTTGACGTATGTGTATTAATCGATCTTTCTCTCTATGATACCTTGATTTATCTCATTCTTGGATGTAAATTCTTTCATATTTACTATTGTACAACAAGATGATTTTCAATGCTTCTCAATGATTTCCCATAGACAAAAAATGTATAAAATCATCAACAAACCCTTCTACGCTTGGACAAGTAAAAAGAAACATTCCTTCAAGCTCATGTTCATATTTTGTAGATTTCTGGTGATGAAACATTGTGATACCCTACCTACCGCCAATAAACGCGCGGCGGCTATTTGTTTCCGGAAGAGTAGACACCCCACCTTCCCCGCGGGCAATTCCATATTTTGATTGGAAAAGTGTATTTTGGATTCCATCCGATTTAATATCAAGGTTCTTCCCACCCCAAACACCAAACAAACTCAAACCATACCTTTTTGACTTTCGATAAAATAAACTTCCCGTCGAATTGAGTTTATCGGTGCTTGGTTTTAAGTAGGGCTTCGTAAGGGTTGCAGGGAAAATCAGGATGCAATGAGCAGATCGGGGATGATGGCTAAACAACAATTTTTCGTGTTGTGGAAAGGAGGGCTGGCGACGGGAATGGGGATGAGGATGGGAATGAACTGTACGCGCTCGATGCCGCGGGTTGCGACGCATACGCTTTCGAGATCGATTTGTAGGGGGAGGAGTGTGGGGTGGGGTTGGGAGGGGAGGAATGGGGGTGCGCTTTTTTCTGATATGTGAGGATTGATTTATTTTGCGCATGGTGATAGCCGCGTGGAGTTTTGTGGTATGGGGGCTAATGGGTTATAGATCACGACGGGAGAGGGGGATTGTGAGGTATTCAACGGAGAGTGATGGGCAGAAGGAAAGGTATGGTGATTGTTTCTTTTTTTGGTGGGAGTTGGGATGAGATTTTCTTGGAAGGGGGATTAATATCACGTGATTTATGAGTATATGAGAGGTCGAGTGACGCTTTTACTGATAGGAGACGAGCCGGGTGGATTTGAGAGTTGTTTGGATACACAGCAATGAATTTCTTATTGGATTATATTCCTTCCTTCTTCTCTCAAACATCGAAAAGACCTAATACAAACGCAATTACAGCAAACAACCAACGCCTCCACCCACACCCCTCAAGAAACCCCTCGAAGTCCTAAAATCCATGGAATCGCTCACTCCCCACGAAAACATCTATACCGTCCCCAATATTCTGACCTTTTCTCGTCTCATCGCTGCGCCCATTTGTGGATACCTCGTTCTGCATGATCAGCATGCGTGGGCTGTTGGACTCTTTGCCTATGCTGGAATTACAGATTTGGTAGATGGATGGATTGCGAGGAAATGGAATTTGCAAACGGTACTGGGCACGATTGTTGATCCGATGGCGGATAAGACGCTGATGACGATTCTGACGGTTTGTTTGGCGATCAAGGGGTGTTTGCCTGGTATGTTTTTTTTCTTCTTCTTTCCCATTGTGCCTTTGTATAATGATGGCATTACTCTCTCCCCGATATTTCGAACATCAATCCTCATCCTGCCCAAGAGAAAAGAAAGATATCACTAAACACAACTCCCTTTATCATAGTCTGGCTCGCAACCATAATCCTCGGCCGCGACATTGCGCTCGCCATTTCCGCCTTCTACTTGCGATGGATTTCTCTCCCTCCCCCCAAAACCTTTTCTCGTTATTGGGATTTTTCACTTCCATCGGCGGAGGTACATCCAACTACTATTAGTAAGTATAACACGGCATTGCAGCTGGGATTCATTGGAGCGACGACGGCTTTGCCGTTGATTACTTGGGATGTTGGAATTGCTATGACGGGGTTTCAGTGAGTCAATTTCTTCTTCTTTTTCTCCTTCTTTCTGTAATGGACTCTTTCTTTGGCAAGATATTGCGTAGAATGTATTTGTAGATAGAGAGGCAAGGAGTGCAAGATGAACAACTGAGATGGGGGAGGTTCAATACTACACGGAAATGAGATACCGACGAGTCGATAAAAACAGTATACTAACAAACCATCCAGATACCTAGTAGCCACAACCACCATTTGGAGCGGATTGAGTTACATCTACACCAAAGATACCATCAAGATTGTCGGCCAACCAGATGCTACCAAGAAGGCAAATGAACAGGGACAGGGACAATCCGATAAGAAGCAGTGATGCAAAAGTATACGAATGGCTGATGATGATTATGGGATTGCATGTAATATTAGGAATCCAGACTGTATATATATATATATCGGAAATATACATTAAAACGTTTGTCTCACAATCAAAGGTGTAGAGATGCAATCACGAAAGGTAAATGTTGAAGATAAGATGAGAAGACTTGATAAAAAAGACGTATTGATATCATTGAATCCTATAGAATCCTACAGAGTAATAGGAGAGACTTTAGATTATCACAACTTCCTATTTTATATTCCCAAGACTTGATTTGAATAAAAATATGAGTATTGTTCCTTCAATCAGGTAGGCAGGTACTCGCATATCTCCACTACAACTACCCCAATACTCACCGGAAGCTCACTCAAGACTACGAACCCCCCCCCCCCCCCCCCCCCAAAGCAAGTAGTCAAAGGTTGGTTACATATAATACTCACGAGGATATTGCACGAAATCGAGTTGTAGTATAACCTATTTCTCATTTAAACACTAAGTATATACGTAACTTCATCTCCATCATATGCACAGAACAACTAGCAGTCTTTCTTCATGACAACCCGAGAACCGAATAAAGAAATATGTATGAACAAGATAAAGAAAAGCTGGGTATGGAGCGACTGCATAGAGAGTATCAAACGACCACCATCAATGCATAATGCAGAACTCCAATATCAATCCTTATGAACCATGCAACGAATACACTTCCGAAGCATGTGTGCTGCCTCCCCAAGAATATTAAAAGCGCGTCGTTTGCCGTACGCGCATTATTCGGCGTGAATAAGTTCCTTGGGCAAGAAAGCCCAGACAGTACCCACAACCGCCATTACAGAACTAATAGCAATCAAGCAGTAATCCAATACCAGCTCTCTCCTGCTGATTTCCTTTCCAAACATCTTGACGTAGAACAAAAGGGGTAGAATGACACAAATGGTAAAGCATAAAGCCGAACCCATAAACGCCATAATACTATCGAAAGCCGGGAAGACAATAGCAATGATTACAAATACGATGAGAACAATGATACGAATGGCAACTTTGATTATACCACGAGTGTAGCCTGAGAGTCCGGTAAGGGCCTGTGATTCGGGCATGGCGCGAGAGTCAAGCCCACAGAGCAATTCGATTGTAGACACAATAGGGCGGGCGTTCAGGGGAACTTTGGTCAATGGAATTATGGCAATGAATATGCAAATCATGAGAGACAAGCTGCGAGGGTAGCTTGAGTTTCCAATGATGTTGGCTGTCACTTCATCCATAACGTTATCTGCAGACATATTAGTGTCTATCTGACGTTAAGCTACTTGTAGGATTGTATTTCTTGAGCGTAAGAAGGATAGACCCAAAGGCTAAGATGTAAGGAAAAGGGGAGCGCTGAATTTGAAATGCGGGGCTTACCTCCAAACATCAATATACCAGCTAGAGCAGTTGTAGCATCAAGCACATACTATGAAATGTTTAGCACAATGTAGGCCAGGTTAGAGATTGATCGAAACTTACTGTGAAGCTGAATGTGTATTTGACTGCCTTGTCGAACTTATACGGGTGTCTCATGTCACGATAAATGTTGGGGAAAACCGAATGTCCTCCCCAGGGCGACATCATGAGACCGAACGAAAGTGGGAGCGTGAGCCACTAGACAGGAGTAGTATTAGCAAAAAGTAGAATAGTAGATATCATATCATGTCAATCTCATTCTCGGAAACATTCTATTAGGAGATGATTCTTTGATTCGAATTTGAACACTGCGGTTTGAATGCATCAATTTAGGTAAGAAGTGTACGAGGATACAATAGACCTGATAGCCTGGAGTTTTTTTGGTAATAATATGATATGCAATGACGAATGATACTGAGATGAAGCACATCTAAGACACTTACGTTGGCTGGAAAAATATATTGAGTTGCCGGTTCCAATAGAGAACCAGGAGTTCGTGGTGTTACAAACCCATCAATGAGAATTATTAGCACAACTATTATGGTTAGCTGATATGTTGGAATTGGGGAATAGTTTTACATACTGGAAAAACATGAGACGATTCCAAGAATGCTGGTAAAACTCAATAAACGCAGAGGGACAAAATTGAGTGGTATCAAGAGAAGACCGCAAAGAATTTTCCATTCATTGACTCCGACGGATGGAATTAGCGAGTTGAGGGAATCTGCAAAAAGGACAATCAAGGCAACACATGCCGCAAGAAGCTCCATAGTGAAAAGGATACTAGTCGCTATATTTGCCTTGCGACCATAGGTTGCATAAGCAACATCTGCGAAACTCAAAAGACTTTGATCTCTATCCATACACTTAGCCAACAATTTCGCCGTGTACGACGTAACAAGTGCCGATAGAAAGAGTAATACCATGCCACATAGCAGTCCAGAGTACTTCAAACCCATAGGGAGACTGAGTAGTCCAACTCCAATTAGAACATTCGTGGAGTTAAGGATTGTCTGTGGAAGCGTAGACTGTCCCTCAACCACAAGTACGATTTTTCCATCTTCTTCAACCTCCTTGACAATCAAAGGCATGTGTTCCCCGTCAGCAACATTTGCGCCGGTGGCTTGTTGTTGTCGCCAAAGTTGACCAGCATGTATCATCGATGACTCGTTTAAGTTTGAACGTAATGTGCCGTAAGACGTTCCATAGCTTCCTGCCAAAGGAGTTGATAGATGCGGGGCAATAGCAAAGATGGATTGACCGCCTCTTACACTTCCTTGCACGCTTGCGCGATCGCCTCCAAGAAGTCGTTCTCCTTCAGGCTTCATGTGGCTGGCAACCCGGGATAGGTTGCTTTCTGTCTCATCACCAATTGCAGATTCATCATCACCCACACCATCCGAATTTGATCTCCGTAGCTGTTCTCTGATCAAGGAAGATCGAGGTATTCTCCCATAGTCCGCTTGTAATCCTCCATATTCTAGATCTGGATCATCACCCTCTCCGCTGCCGTCCCCAGCAAGTATGAACGACGGGCGGCGCGGAGTAATTTCGTGGAACGCAGTAGCTCGTGTTAAACTTCGCGCGAAGTTCTCGATACTATTTACACCTCCAGCATGGGCAATAGAGTTAAATCGCATGGCAATCGAAGACCTTGGAAACAAAAATTAGCCATTATACACGCGAAGAAAGAGAAGGACGAAATACCTTCGTCTCCTAAGGCCTTCCATTTGTTCATTCTGGTCCCCAGGGGCTAGATAATCAGATTCTGCAGATGGAGAGAAATTGCCCGAGTCAAATCGTACACTTCGATTGCTACTGATAGAGCCTCTGGGGGATCCTGATGTGCCATGCTCGTACTCATGGAAAGTAGTTGGATTTCGATTGGGAGGAGGCGCCATGATGAGGAGGCAATAGATTATTCGTTATTGCGATATCATCAAATGCCACAGTCAGAAACTGAGTATGACAAAATTCCAAAATGTTCTAATCCTTAATCCTTAGTCAATCTTGAGAAAAAAATCACAGCGAAACCATCCGATATTTCTTGAGAATGGACACACGAGCAAATTAATATGGCAGGATCAAGAATTGGGTGTGGGTTGTATATTAAGATCTATCTAGACTGATATTTTGTGGTTTTAGTCCGCCTTTTTAAAAATCAAGCAAGCTTCTCCAGCCAAAGATAACGCTTATCGGGCTTTCTTGCCGATGTCATGCGAGATTCAATTTTATGCACAACACAAATTTTTTATATCATCTCTTGTATTTTCGTGCAACCATTACTTTTGTTTCTTCCCCTCTATCCTCTCCCCTTATGATTCTCATTCGTCAAGTTCCTTCAAGCAAAGTTTTTCCAGACCTTCCAACTTACCACTGAGACTGCAACCTTCGAGTTTGCTCTTCAAGTAGTGTAACATTTTAGTAGAAACTTGGAAATGCAGCGGCGCAGGTAGATGCATGGATTAGATGCCCCACCTGCCCGTCAGGTCCTTTGCAGTTCTCGGCCAATATGATATCTACCGTATTCTTATCCATCCCTTACATGGGACTTTTGTGTAAAAACTCAAAAGCCCCCCCACCTTCGACTGCCTCAACTAATTCTCCCGAATCTCCCCATGCCATTCATGATTTTGACTGTTTCGCATTACGAACCAGTACCTTCTCATTAACTGATTGGCGATCTTTCGTCTTGTCTATTTTTTCATCAGGAGAGGCCGAAATCTTCGTCAAGGGTGCTGACCCACCATATAAAATTTGTAGTCCGAGCCCGTTCTGCATCTTGCGCCTATTGCTCCATGCATTATACAACCCCTCAGTGTTCGGAAGTAAGCTGGACATTCCGGTCGATACCGGAATCTGTGCTGCTTGTGTAGAATTCTTTTTGATAGTCGTTCGTGGTAGACAATTGCAACCGGTCCATCAATCTACAATGTATAATGTAGACCGCCTGCCCTCCCCCCCTCTATAGCGATCAATTCTTAAGCACAATTGAGAAATTGTTGCGGCTGCCTCCAGCTCTAATCTCTTCCTTCTTCCATTGTCTTGGTTTCACCGTTGGCGACTGTAAACGCCAGAGATAGTATACCAGCTTGTTCGAAAGCTTCTTCTTCACCATGACGTATCCCAAGCTCTCCATTATTGCTTCCAGTCTCGCTTCATCCATGTAACGTGAGTTGTTCACACAAGGCGATGGCAGTACCAAAAACAATGCCGGAAACCATTCGCTAAAGCCATCACCAGCCGGACAGATTGTTTCCAAGAACTTGCGAGTTCGGAGTAACATATTACCTCTGCCTACGCCATCCGGAACGTAGTTCAAGACTAGAGAAAGACTGATAATGTTAAATTTTTCAGTTTCGTCCTTCGGTAGCGGTCGTTCCATGAAATCCTGCTGCGTGATTCCCTCCGATTGACTATTCAGATCAATTCTCTCAACATGAAAGGTATGACTTCTCGAACAAGCATTTGTAGTACTCAAAGCTCCAACCTCTAACATGCGGACAGGTGACTTCCTTTCAACTAGGCCCTTAAGATCTTTACATAGAGGCGCTAGCCAATCCATCAAGATCTTGCTACTATCCCCACCTCTATCATTGCCCTGCCCGATTAGACTTGCACGTTGATAGCTTTCCAATCCCCCTTGTGAAGCAATCTCACGTGTTAGTGCCGCCGCCTTAACTTCATCACCTTCTGCTAAAGCCTTCGCCTTTTGCTTTTCCAACGTATGGTGCTTACGAATAATTGTTCGAGTAGCTTTGCTTGAAATACGTTGAGCAGGTTTCTTGATCGTGAGTGGTCGACCTTGTGAGAGTGACTTAAGTTTTGGTTTTTTGTTGATACCCATGGTGAAAGATTTGACAACTTCAAATCAATGATGAAACCAGCATGAATCTTCACGAGCGAAAAAAACGGAAGATCTTCACGAAGGTAAAAGTAAACAAGATTAATCAATTAATAACAGAAGATTAAACCCAACTAGTTCATAAAGTATTTACATACGAAAAGTCAGATGGAAAATGCGTCCCTAGTCAAATTTTCGGTATCCGGCAAAACGATTGTCCGATTAGCGAAATTTTCGCCCACGATCTGTGAATTCGACTTTTCTCCTCGAGATATTCTCTTGAAGCAAACCATCAACTCCTCGACAACTCAATTCCAATACTAATCCCTCAGGAAGTATATTCGTCGAAATGGCTCCAGTAGCAAAGAAAGGTACAGTCTCCTTTCTCTCAAATTCGCATTGATCGCATTTCTTAATCGCAATATCGTCCTTGGAAAATATTGCGACCGCTTTGAAATTACGAAATATGAAAATATTTCCAGATACAACGGGAAGGAATGCGAAAGATGCGCACCAGCAGTAGCAGATATTGCGAGTTCTTCAAGAGCGCTTGCTGATGCGTAAGTTTTAATAGGTGCCGCCGCCAAGGGTGGTAACAAGAAGGCCAATGCCGCTGCTAAGGCTACCTTGAAGGGTGTAAGTTCTTCTGTCCATTCTTGAGATTAACATTTGATACTAATGATTCTATCAGGTTCACTCCCACAAGGTCCGCAAGGTCCGTCTCTCGACCACCTTCCACAGACCTAAGACCCTCCAACTCTCCCGTGCACCAAAGTACCCACGTACTTCCATCATTTCCCAACCCCGTCTCGATGAGCACAAGGTCATCATCCACCCATTGAACACCGAGAGCGCCATGAAGAAGATCGAGGAGAACAACACCCTTGTCTTCATTGTCGACATCAAGGCCAACAAGGCTCAAATCAAGGAGGCCTTGAAGAAGCTTTACGACATTGACACCGTCAAGATCAACACCCTCATCAGGTAGGCTCAATTCAAATTCTTCAATCATGTGCAATTGCTGACATCGACTATAGACCTGATGGATCCAAGAAGGCCTTCGCCCGTCTTACTGCTGATGTTGATGCTCTTGACATCGCTGCCACCAAGCTCGCCATCGTCTAAATTATCAAAACTGGGAGTGGAATTAGGAATCTGGATTTGAGGGAAACAAAAAGTTTTATGGTTGAAAAAAAACAACAACCAGCTTTTTCTACGATTGGTCGATACCCACATCCATTTAGCGTAATGAGATGATTTTCAAAATGTGTATACCAATGCAGTATTACCCTGCCAATGACAATTCTTGATACACTTGAATTTGTATATGTTTTGCTTGTGACGGCTCTTTATCATTTACATCTGCCACTTGTGCTACGTTATGTTTTTATTTTTGAGAAATCGTGTACAAGCGAATGAGTTCGACTTGCGGTTGCATGAATCCGTATGAAAACCCCGGAGTTCCGCCTGCACAAGGGACATTATTCGTAACAGATTAAGCTTTTACTCCAAATTCACGAGCATCTAGATGTGATTATCATATCGAGTGGCTGTCTATCCATCGACGACTGACACTTTTCTAACCACACATGAATATAGCCAAGCACATTCATCGACTTCCTCCACAACGAGGTCAAGATCCTGCAAGAAGGGATATCATGTTATTCATTGATCCCATATCACATAGCATACCCGTCTAGAATTTTTCTATTCATACAAAAGACATCATTCATGCATGTCTCATTCATATCCATATGCCTCGTTTAACACTCCACCCCCCTTCCTCCCTCACCTCATCAAATCATAAAGAAGTAGAGAGTATACATGCCATGTCTATTCCAACACAGACTTTTCCCTCAAAACATCATCACACCCCATCACATCCCATCCCACCGTATCTCACTGCATTCCATCAAACTTATAATCATACACCCCCCTCCTCACCTCACCTCGCCTCCCATCCTTTCCCCAAACAACAACCCCTCCAACCTAAGCCCCCCATTCGCCCTCATAGTATTCAAGTGTGTAATCACCGCCATACTGCTATCCAAAAACCTCTCCACACAATTCATCGTGCAGCTCTCTTCGCTCTTATCCAGCTTGCCGCTGCGGATACTGCCTGTTACGCATTTCTTCCAGCAGACGTCGGTTAGGGAGTGAACGGCTATTTTGGGAAAGAGAGGTTGTTAGCTTGTGGTTCTTATTCTTCTTATTCTCACTCCATTCACATCTTCAAGCAGTCCTCCTTCTTGCTTCGGGAAAATGTCCCTCGCGGCGTGGAGGGGAAGAAGACCAGGCAAGCCAGATATCACAATTCCCAATTCCCCCCAGACATCCCCTTAAAACACTCTCTAGAAGCCAAAGCAAAAAGAAGAAGGAGAAAACATACACTGTTGAATCCTAGCCTTCTGCGTTTCATTAACAATAAATTGTTGCAATTCCTGCTTGTCTCTATCCGACAACTTTGAGAGATCCGGGGTTTGTTGAAGAGATGAGGAATCCATTTTTGTGTAGCTTATCGAGAAGTTCGCAGTTGCGTGTTGAGATGCTATTTTGGAGAGGAAAGGGTTCCTATGTGTGCGACAGAGAAATTGGTGGTTTGCTGGGTTGGAAATTCAATGGTTTGATACAAGAGCTTGAGAGTGCTTCAGAAATTTTGCCGGGTTCAAAGATTATCGGTATCAGCGTCATTGATCAGGTCACGTGGTGATTTCTTTCTGGCCGCTTCAACATTTGCGAACATAATGTGACGGACGACCGGACATCTTGAAGGCGCATATCAATTATCACGTTACTGAAGTCATGCAATTTACACATTCTAGGTAATATCTGGTTTATTATTAAAAGTATCAAAATCTAAAGACATCTACAATGTATCCAAAAGATCCGTAATAGTAACACCATGATTTTAGCCCAATTTCTGTACCACATCTATCAAAATTACAAACCCTCCCAACAGTATTATTAGCTCAAGCACATATCTTCCCACAAACATTTAAATATATCTATACCGTCTTGCAAGGGCCAAGGAAGCAAGAGAGAAAACCACCAATACAGCTAAAATTGTAAAGAACGGAATGAGACTGTTCGCGTCCTTGAAAGGAACAGCAACATTCATACCAAACATACCACATACCAAGTTAAGAGGAACGAGGATGGAGGCGAGGAGAGTAATCTTGCTCAGAACCTTGTTTGCGTTGTTCCCTTGGGTGATGTTGTCGATTGACAGCTGTGCGAGGTAGTTGCTGTGCGATCTTGAGAGCATCTTCTCAGAGTGACCCAAACTGGTCATCATAGTGACAACGTGATCTTGAATATCGCCAAGATACATACCAATATCCATGTGAGGAGTGACGAGGTAATTTGAATTACAGCGCTTTGTGAACCCTCTCAAGACATCAGCCTTGCCACCCAGAAGTTTCATCAGACCCATAACATTCTTTCGAACCATGCCGATTTTTCGTAAAAATGCATGCATGTCATCACTGCGAGCAATGAAGACCTGATCTTCAATCGTATCTGTCTCATTGTCGATCTTGTGGATAACAGGGCCGAAGGTATCAACGATGTGATCACTGTGAAGTTGTTAGTTCATGATCTCAATAGCTTATTAAGAGAAACTTACATTAGCGCGTAGCAAATCCAATCGCTGTTCAAAGACAAATAATCCTTCAGCAATGTGATACGCTTACGAACACTGCCTGCATGTGGGTTTGGCGAAAAACTAAAGCTGAGTAGACCCTCTCGGAATACAATGACATAAATGTTGAATGGATCGTATTCCTGGCCGTCCTCAATCTCTACAACGCTAAAGGAACGGAAACAAGCGAAGTAGTACGAAGGGAAGAGTTCGATCTTCTCTCGCGTTTCTTGAGCTGTGATATCCTCGATAGTCAAGGGATGGACGCCAAATGCCTCGCAAATCACACGAACTTCCTCCTCTGTCGGGCTGTTCATATTCAACCACCAAACACTCTCTCCTTGTTGTTCTTCTTCTTGTGGAGGAGTGAATAGGGTTCTTATATCTTCTCCTGGCAGGATGAGATCACCAAATTCCGATGCGTGAATACTATCTACTCCGTGCGAGGAAAAGTATTCAAACCTATTAGTGTCTGGGTGCGATTGCTTTGGTCGGGTAAGTTCTTCGAGGCTAGATAGATCCATCTTCTCATTGATTGATGGTGGACCCGAAGGAATATCAACAACCGTACCTTCCGATGTAACAATCGTGGGCACCGCACCGTTAGTTCTCAAATCGTGGAAGATTCGAGGTTGCGTGTGGTTCACAGGAGTCTTGGAACGATTTTCCTCCTCCAAAATAAAATCCTCGAGTGTTTCAAAATTGATTTGAAGGGTGTTCTTGGTTGGAGAAGCATGTAGAGGGAAGCAAACATCTTCCTTTGCCGACTTGCACGAACTTGCGAAGCTCTTTGCATCGTTCTCGTTGGTGTAACGTCTGCTACGAAATGTACGATGGCTTCGGTGACTGGCGTGTGATTCTGTTCTATGAAGAGCATTATGATCTTCGAGCCGCCTGGCATCTGCAAATGCCTTTCCAGGGTTCGGGTCCGAAACGGACATTTCTCGTTCTCTCCTTCTTGCATCCGCAAATGCTTTCACTGAGCTGGGTGGCGATAGGGAACGGATATCAGCAGTGGCTGCGGTTCCTCTACGACTTCTATCTGCCATTCGAATGGCCATTGGAGATACACCTCTCGAGTCCTCGTCGATGATGGCTTCCTCAAAATCTCTTGCGATTGTTTGAAGAAGGGTGTTATTTACACGTGCTAAGTCTGGACTCTGTGGAGCTCGAGGAGATGGGGCTTGCATACTATCGATAGTACCGCTGCGAGAACGAGCTTTTGGTAGAGCTTGAGACTGATGTCTGTGGTCATCTAACTCTGGCACCGGCGTGCTGTAGCCGGTATCAAGGGAGGTGTCTTCGTGTTCAGACATCTTGAGTTATAATATTATAGATAAGATATATTTAGGTTAAGTTTCTGCATGTGCATTAGCTATTGGACTCCAAAGGTTACAACAAGAACGACATACAGAATTCTAGGAAGCCAAAGCTTTCAAAATCCAGGCAGGTCGCAACGAGCGCCCACCGCTTGTTTGGCGTCAATTTGATAGTTGGCTTTGCACAGGTACTCCCTGTACAGTGTGATTTCTAGTGAAGAATGGCTACTCGTCCATCCGCTACCCCTTTTTGATTTGTTTGTATAGCTGCAGTTGTATATTTCGTTTTTGGATCGCTTGAAGTGCAATTATGGGGGTTTCTTGTCGCCTCCGCAGTAGGCCCAGATCTTCACTGGACCGAGGAGGGGACGGATGAAGGAAAAGCCTTGGAATACGAGTCCCGCCAATTTGGTGGTTGGTTGTTTATGAAGCCGTTGAGGCGTTGTGAGTCGAAAGAAATTGACGCTCGAGTTCGACAATCGCTTTGATGCGACAATTTGAATATTTCGATATGGGACAGTATTTGAATGAAGTTGATCGTGGCTTGGGTTGTTGGAAAGGTGGAAAAGTCGGTTTAATGGGTGGCCGGTCTTGAGTTGAAGTTTTTCGAGGTAAAAGAAGTTGAAAAAAAGGGCGGCCTGTTTTATGTAGTGTTGGGAACCCTAAGCGGTACTCGTTATGTTATGGCTAAGGGTACAGCCAATGGCCAAATAAAAGATATTGGGTAAGTTGCTAATAGCAAAATGATATTTGAAGATAGTAATTGAAATGTGAGATGTTGTATTTAAATAAAAAAGGGAGTTGAAAGGTCGAAACCAATCCGATATTGTTTGAGTTGTAATTTTTCAAGGAGGACAAGAAGTGGAGTTGGAGGAAGAAAGCTTGAGAGAGAAATCTTGGTGGAGGCGCTTGTTAGTGTACGGGTTACGATGGGTGGTGGTGTTCAGGTGTGTTCTCAGGTGTGTTTCCAGGTATACAGCAATGATTCCTTCTTCCTTACTACATTTTCTTCAAAGTTCCATTCATTGGAAAAAAGCGAATTTGGTGGGGGGAATTGGTGGAGAATTGGTGGAGAATTGACAGAGGATGGTCAGAGAATTGACCTACCAACCTCCAGTTCTCAGACATTTGATATATATAGTATGGCTCGCATGGTTAGGTGGGTGGTTAGGTGGTTAGGTAGTTAGGTAGTTAGGTATCAATTACATTTTGGTAGGTCTTACATATCTCTTAGATTAGATCATGTTAGATCATATTAATTCCTTCTCGTCCAAATCATCTCTCCCCCGTGAACCGCTTCCTCGTCGCAAATCCTTCTGCTCGGGGCCATCAAGGCATTGGGCGTGCTATGATTGTGCATCATCATCAAAAGGCCAAGACCTGATAATGTTCTTCAACATCTCTTTAATACGGGATTGGTGCATCGGTGCATTGATTCGGTGGGTTGCCTGCCTTCTGATGGTCTAATGGATACTTTGGTCCCACGAGAAGACATATTGATCTTGATTTTGGAATGTGAATTGGTGACATGAGACCTCTGAGATGGTCGTCTTGCATTCTGATACCCTTTGTTCTCTATCTTCCAAGCCTTTTTTTGGTCGTGGATTATCGCCATACATGAGCTGGAATCTTCTCCGATCACATCTTATCTACTATCGATTTAGCCAAGACTTGAAGGTTTTCGTCCAGCTCATACATCTATAGTATTATCTATAGTATTATCTATAGTATAACTTTAACATCGACCCATTTGAGTAACAGTAACCAAGTAAACTGCACATCTTGTTGAACCAAAATCGCTCATCCCTCACACAAACTCTAACCATGTGCTTTTAGCCCCCGGTTACCAATTCTCGGCCAAGGCGATTAGTAGTCAAGGGTACCTACAACCATAGCAAGGCTGAAGTGTGGCCTCAACTTAAGCTTCAAGGGACACTTTAGAAGTTGGTAATATTTCACAAATCGACTTTCTTATCTAGTAAAAGGCTTGATTCGTTGTTTCTGCAAATCGGTCGTCCAACTTTGCACACCAATTACAAATATGGCAGACCAAATTCTTGACCAGGTTCGGGATCTTGCCGAAGGGCAAATTGTTAGTATACAATCATTCATACAACCATATTATTGCAGGTCGTAAAGCTGGGTCTGATGCTGATTCCCTGTTCCGCGTACAGGACTTTGAAGGTCAAAGATTGGCAGAGTTCTTGACAACAGCTCTATTAGCAATATCCGGAGTAAATCATTCCATCCATTCCTGATCATTCGAAATATGCTGATTGATAGTAATAGGCCATTGCCTTCTTTGTTGGCTTCTTCAAACAAGATATCAAACTGGCGCTTGCTTTCGGTTTACTTGGAACGGCATTCACCTTCGCCATCGTTGTGCCTCCATGGCCCTTCTACAAGAAACATCCCGTTAGATGGTTACCTTTGGGTGGGCGGGATGCATCGACACAAGGGATTGTTGTGGATGGAAAGACTGTTGGCTGAAGAAATGTTGAAGGGATATTTAGTCTGGGGGCGTCATAGGATTGGGAATACCTCAAAATGCAAACAATATATTGGCACAAATAAAAAGCTTCACATTGAAAGCTACATTGTACCGAAGTTTCGCTCTACTTCTGTGTCCTTAACGCCAATCCTGCCAGAAATTCTCCATTTGCCTCCTACTGGGTCTTGGATGAATCGCGCAGATGAGATTCGTGCCGCTCTTTTTGGTATATTATACTTCATTTCCGTAGCTTCATCATCTTCCTCAAGTACCCCATCCAATCTCAAATACAATCTCAAAATCCCAACTTAACGACCATACTTCTGGAACTCCCAATCTCTGTTATCAAGTGGGCAAACTTGGCGTGTCTTCAACCAACGGGAGATGCAATGAAAATGGAAAGCGTGCTGTTCGTAGTCTGATGTTAGAACAAATACCTCTAGAGGAAAGGAATTACTGACGTTACAAATTCCCCAAGCTACAGTGCACTCCTCACTTGTGGCAGAGGCTTGGTTTGCTTGACATTCGATACCTTTGTGAAAGTCAGCAGTTGGTACCCTGTTTGGCACCCTCGAACTTACAAAGATCCATAATATGATTTCTGCAGATAGCGCAGTTATCGACAACAATGTCCCATGCCCACAAAGCTACCGCGTTCCACTAGATATCTTATTAAAGCTGTGCAGAAAACCAACAACAATCGAGGCATCTATACCTTCTTCACTTCGAAGCGCTTTTTGCCTTCCGAACCTTCACCACCTCCTGCCTTCTTAAGACCGTTTTTCTTTCCTGTAGCTGGTGGGGCATCTGCCATTTCTACGTCTGCCATGGTGATGGGAATATCTGGAGTGTTGATGGCTATCTAAATTATTGGTGTTGGCGGGGTACTTTAGGATGAGATGCGAACGAATTGATTTGCGAATTTAATATGGATAAGCTGATGATTGTATTAATCGGCTTAAGTGAAGGTTGGCATTTGTTGCAATGGAAGAACGTTTAATCTCAGAGTCTAAAATGAAAGAACTTCTTGGTTATGTATGATTTTGGACGCAGATAGATATCAATCTACGGTAGACATATGATGGTATTCTGATATTCTGGAACTACCCATCCGTAGTTTAGGCATGACAGTCTTGATCACGTGGTATATTGGCTGCTTTCAGGCTTGGTGTAAACAAAGCTCGAAAGGAGAACGCTAATACTGTACTATGATTCCTTGGACTTCGATTAAATGTTTTCGGATCTCTAACTTTCACCAAACTAACAACAAGTAGAACTATTCAGCCGTAGGGCTGTGGCTGTAGCTGTAGCTATAGCTGTAGGGCTGTCGAATGAATAACAGATGTCTTTGAATCACCTCCATTGCCCACGTCCTGTTCGCGGTATCGGTATCTGTCTGAAGAGTCTGAGGGTTTCGATTGGAAAGATGACTAATCCACAAATCGATCAGTGAAACGATACGGAGTAGGGCGATCGGTCGCTGTATCGCATTTACCTTCTTCAGCCTCTCTCCCCCCCCCCCTTCTCTTATTCAAAAACATACTACAAATTATAAGACCATCATACCGAAAACAATGAATAACTCACTTCAATCATTCAACCACGTAAAAGTAAACAGATTCAACCAAAAATACTACTCTTCTACTAGATTGCGAGACACAACCAACGAACGTCCACCTCCTTACCTATAGCCCACCATTTCGTACCATCTGATCTACACACGCAATAGCACAGACACGCGGAAGCTTTCGTCTCTTCTTTACCAAGCACAATCATTCGAATTTCATCGTATAGAGAATAGCTTTCATCAACCCAATCACAAATTCATAGGCGTCAAACGTCAAACTAAGATGACCTCGATGACTCCCCACAAAGGGCAACGTCAACCCCAAAGCTTCGCTGCAGACTTCGGAACAGCCTCACCTCGAAACGCCCCTCAAAGTCCACATGATTACAATAGTCAAGCATATGTACAAAACATGCACCCCTCGATGACTTATTCTGATCAGCAACCTACTACCCCTCCTCGAACTCCTCGAAGAGTCCAGCAGAACCAGCCAGCCTCTCAAAATAAACCAAATTCAACCCTACCCGACAATAGCTCCCGAAAGTCTACCAATAAAAGAAGGCCCAAAAATGTCCAGACGTCTCCTGTCGCAACTAGGAGTGATCGAACTACCCCGCCATTGACTGGTGCTCAATCTACCAGTGGCTCAACTGCTCCAAGACCTATTCAAACACCATCCGCAGCCCAAGTCTATGCAGGTCCAACTTTCCATGCATCTCCCGCCCCGTCAGCTTTACCCATGCCCAGTTTCTTTTCAAAGTCTGTCCCAGAATCACCAGCGATCAGGACTGGAAGTGCGGTCAAAGAGCCAGATTCCTCGGCAGATGAATCCTCGCAAACTCCATCTTCAACACAAATATTTAGAGATGTGTCACATAGGGAGGAATCACCCCTCGATCTTTTCTTCAAAGCAGACAAACGGGAGAAGGCCGAAAAGATACGAGCACGAAGTACAAACTCGAATGCCACCGGTTCTGCTGGACCTTTCAATCCCCCAATTGAGTCGCCGGGGAATACAAGAACTCCATCACAGCCTAACAGTCAATACCGCAATAAAAACATACCAGCTTCTCGTGGTTCAGCAAGTAGTATGTTTTCCATGGAGGAGGATGGATCCAACAGTCCCGGATTACCATTGGGGCCAGCATTCTCCACTCCTTATAATGAAAGGATCATGAAAGCACTTAAGAATTCGGGTCCCTCGCAGCCACATCAAGTATCGCCAAGTCACTCTCAGTCACCACTCGACAAGTCAGAGCAACTCAAGGCTTACCTTTTTTCTGAGGGACCATCCACCAATGGCAACCTTGGACCTGCTTTGAGCTTAACGACGAATTCCGCAATGTCCAGTCATGGTGGACACAGCTCTCCCACTGGCCCAAGGAATGGCGGTCTACCTGGAAGATCTCCACAGGCCAACTACAAATTCAGAGGTGATTCTCGAAGCTCAGGTGAAATTCCCAAATCCGCTCGGTCAGGTCTTCGCCAAGAAGTCTCCCCAGCGAAAACTCCCACAAGAACGCCTGAGCGTGCTCATTCATACGGACCATCCCAAAACCTCTCTCAAATCTATGGAAATAACTTCTCAGCTGGCAATAATCTTAATAATACCACCCAAGTCACACATTCTTCCCCTGTGCCACAAGGTTCCTCTGGTACCCTCCCTGGAACTAGCAATCCCGATTTTCGAGGCATGGAAAACGATTTAAGACGGATCCTCAAACTGGATTCTCCTGGCTTTGCTGGATCAGCAAGGTAACTTCCCAGTCAAATCTACTTTTCTTTTTTTCTCATGGCAAATGGAGTTCGGGTGATGGCTTATATGGCATCACAGGTAGGGTTCTTATATTGGCGTTCTGGTTATCATGCACTTTTTTTCTTCCTCCAGTGAGAGCGTTATGGTTACGAATTGGTGCATGGGCTTTTCAGGGTTTGTGGCATTTTTATAGAGATGATGGCTTGGTATACCCATGTTAGTTCTCGCAATGTTAGGGCTGGTTTGCCTTGTATTATTGGGGAGCAATTTCGGAAATGTTCTTACGATTGATGGTCATACCTCAAATCTCGTACTATAACGATTGATATTGTTACATTTCTTAAGGCAAGATTCGGCCGTCTGGACTACAGCAATTGAGTTGGATTACTGGGGGAAGGAGAAGCGGTGTGGCCCAGCTGTGTGGGAGGGACCAGCGATACATAAAACAAAACAAAAAAAACTCGGATCTCAGATTATGTTTCTTGGCCGCTAGAGTTTATCGACGCAGATACACATAATTAGTAGCTTCTAGTTAGAGCTATCACTGATGGCTAAACAGAAATGAATCCGTTATAACAAACATAAACCTTTGTTGCTTGTTGCTATGATATAATGCGCGGTACGCTGTCTGGTATAGTAGCCTCTCGAGATACGCTCTTCTTGTTTGTTTTGTTTTGAATATCAACAGAACTGGGAACTTCTCATGTTATCGTAGTATGGTATCTCATCTCTGAGGAACACTCCTAGTCATGCATTGAGTTATCTCGTACGAGAGGTATATCATTCACGAGAAAATTCGCAATTTGTTCTGCTTTCTCGAGGGTCTAATTCAATCTAGCTATTGCATACAGTGATGAATAGCACATATTACTTCTGAATTCTCTGCGGCTTCCTGCTTAACATGTTTCGTTGTATGTCTACAGCCTTCTCCAGAGTGATTTTAAATGATACTTTTGCAATTGGAAATTTCTGATAATGTTGTTCTTATTATCCTCACTCGTTTTGTTGCTGGAATAGTTCATGTTAAGTAGTGATAGCATTAATCCCAACCTTTTAGGTGAGTACTTTTGATGCAAATGATAGATTTGAAGATCTTGACTACAGTAATTGCACCCCTAAGTTTCCGTTATATAGCTTACACGTTAGCAGTTGAGTTTGGTTGTCGAAGATGAGGGGGAGAGACGGTCAGAAAGCAAAAATTGATTTACTTATGGCCAGAGTAGTGTGTGTACCATACAAGTGTCTCATACTTTTATAAATAGGTGTTAGCAGATCATGCCTACACATTAGAGTTTCGAGAAGTTTACTAATACAGGAAAGAGGGTTTGATAAGAGGTCTGTGGGACATGGGTGTTCAGATGCAAGCGTTTGTTAAGAGCGGGAGATACCATATATAAGATAGGTATACTTAGATTGAAGCAATTGACTATCTTCACTGATTCAGATTCGATAGAAACAGGACAAAAACACCAACTTCAATTTTAGGAGAACATTAGACGAATATGTATGTTATGATAAATGAGATTGTGTATTCATTCCACAACATGAAGTACGGCTAAGTTTTCTGACATTATATATTCACCTGACCTATTCACTAAAACCATATATCTTTCAATGTTGTTCCATCTCTTTTGACGCCTATATTCCTATCTTCTCTTCACCACCTCACAATGCTCATCGCTTAATTTACTAACTTCTGCCCCCCCCCCTTTCATTCTTTTTTACAATGAATTTTGATATTGACCCCTCAAAAACATGCTCTCCAGAATACACTATCAACTCATTAGATGCTTCTCTACCTGATAATATATGAGAAAACAAATAGATGATATGTGTGTTTTGAAAACCTATGTACTAATTCCTTATGACATTGACCTTGACCTTATAAAAATGCTTGAATTATTGCATCATGAAACTCGAAGGAATCAATCCATACCTAGTAGGCACATTCAGCTAGTAACAATCTGTGTCAATATCAAATTGGACATGCTCAATGTTGTCGTGATCGATTGTCTTCGAAACCCGTGCAGCCAATCGGTGAAGACCAAAAAAGCTCCGATAAGCTTTATAGAAAAATAAATCCCCGCCCATAAATTTCCCATTGATTCAAGAATCGCACAAGACGCATTCGAAATGCCAATATGAAGAGAAGCCTTACGGTGGCATATCGTCGCCCCTTACTACAGACTTTCACTAGAAGCTGGTTCCTCCAAAGAAATTCTTTTGCAAGTGTAGCAGCAGATACAAGGTATTGAATGCGCCCCCCCAACTCCATCCTCCAATCCTCTACTCAGCAGCTAACTCGGTATTTTCAGACCATACGATGTCGTCGTTATTGGAGGAGGTCATGCGGGCTCAGAGGCTTGTGCGGGAGCAGCGCGATCCGGGGCTAGGACTGCATTGATTACCCCGAAACTCGAGAACATTGGTGTTTGCTCTTGCAATCCTAGTTTTGGTGGGATAGGGAAGGGTACCATGTTGAGGGAGGTGGATGCGCTGGATGGAGTTGCGGGAAGAATTATTGATAAAGCCGGAGTTCAGTTCAAGGTATTGAACCGGAAGAAAGGTCCTGCGGTTTGGGTAGGTGATCATTGTGGCGGCGGCATTTCAAGATTGTAGGCTAATATTTGTCAGGGTCCAAGAGCGCAAATCGATAGGGATTTATACAAAAAGCATATGCGAGAGGAGCTAGAAGCATACCCGAATCTTTCGATTGTAACCGGGAGTGTGGCGGATATAATTGTTTCGAAGGAGGAGGGCGAGGCGCAAAGTGGCAAGATTACTGGCGTGCGACTGGAATCGGGCGAAATAATACCTACCAAACAAGTGGTTATCACGACTGGCACATTCTTGGGCGGGGAGATTCATATCGGCTTGGAGTGTTATCCTGCAGGGCGCATGGGGGAAGCGGCAACATTTGGTTTGAGCAAATCGCTGAAAGACGCTGGTTTTACTCTGGGAAGACTGAAGACGGGAACACCTCCCCGCCTTGCAAAGGGTTCTATCGACTTTAAAAATCTCACCGTGCAGCCAGGGGATCAGCCACCGACACCTTTCAGTTATCTCAACGAGACTGTGTCTGTCCAGGACCAGTTACTCTGCCATGCTACGTATACGAATGAGGCTTCACATGCTGTGGTACGGGCAAATCTGGACAAGTCCATTCATATCAGAGAGACTGTGAAAGGGCCCAGGTATTGCCCATCGCTCGAATCCAAGGTTATACGATTTTCCGACAAAGATAGACACATTGTATGGCTAGAGCCTGAAGGTTTTGACAGCGATGTCATCTATCCTAATGGTATCTCCATGACAATACCCGCGGAGGCCCAAGAACAACTTTTAAGAACCATTCCAGGACTAGAGAATGTCACAATGACCGCCCCTGGTTATGGTGTAGAGTACGATTATGTCGATCCTCGAAGTCTAAAAGCAACACTTGAAACAAAGGCAATCCAGGGTCTTTACTTAGCTGGTCAAATCAATGGTACTACAGGTTATGAGGAAGCAGCCGCGCAAGGTATCATAGCCGGTATCAACGCCGGTCTCGCATCACATTCGTTGCCACAATTGACTCTGTCCCGCAGTGATGGGTATATCGGAATCATGATCGACGATCTCATCACCAAAGGTGTCTCTGAACCTTACCGCATGTTCACATCTCGCAGCGAATACCGTATGAGTGCCCGAGCCGACAACGCCGATTTACGACTTACGGAAAAGGGACGACTAGCAGGAGTAGTAGGCGAAAAACGCTGGTCCGCCTTCAATGACGAGGTCGCTCAGATGGACGGCCTCAAATCAGCGCTCGAAAATAGTAAATTCAGCGCTCCGGTATGGATCAACGATGGCTTCAAAGTTTCAAATGATAGCACTATGCGAAACGCCTTGGATATTCTGCGCATTCGAGACGTCACAATGAACGATCTTTCGACTCGTGTCCCGGAGATCCTAACATACACCCAACGAATCCGAGATAGAGTTGGTATCGAAGCCGTCTATGCGCCATATGTTATACAACAAAAAGCTGCGCAGAGAATCTTCCAAAAAGATGAGATGCTTAAACTACCTGTAGATTTAGATTATGATTCTATACATGGGATATCTATGCATGAGAAATCAGTGTTAAAGATCACCAGGCCCGAGAGTGTGGGACAGGCGAGGAGGATTGAGGGAATGACGCCGAGTGGATGTTTGAGATTGTTGGCTTTTGTGAGGGGGAGATCGAGGGCGGTTCAGAAGGCCAACATATTTGATGAAGTAGCTAGGAAGAGAGGAGAAAGGAACGTGGCCAGTTAAGTTGAGGGAGGTATGATTTAAAAAGGTTCAAATGTATAGATATGCATGGCGATGGCGTTTGCGGGGAAGGTTGGGTGGATAACTACTGTGGATCTAAAGGATATATGAAGGGACGTCACTCTGTAAAAAAATAACTAGGGAAACCATGGGTCGGAATGCAATGAACTTTACTTTGTACAGATACTATGAAGCTATTAGTTGGAATGCAGTGAAATTTATTCATAAGATTCATACATAGATTGTCAATCTGGATATAGCCGACGTGGTAGAGCGTGCGTCAACTTAGGTGACAACACAACAATAACAGCAATTTTTAATTAGCCTAGAACAGACTGTCAGTTGCTCGGGGCGAAGTTTGGAGCTGACGCCAAATGGGTTTTGATATTCGAAACCTGCGAATGTTGGGGCATATTTAGATTTGAATACGATTTCACAAATGAGTATGGTATTTGGTTGGAATATCAACAACTCCCTCTCTGACGAGGATTGTTCGGATTTTTGAAGATCTGTTCGACAATGGCATTAGGTTGTTTTCAAACGTATGTTTGCCTCGAATATCATACCAGTGAGTAGTTATCAAGAAAGGTCCCGTAGAGAAATAGCTGGGTATAAGTAATGGGTCACTACCTATTCATACTAGTTGAGTAACAATCTTAGACCGAAGGCACAGATAGATGTAAGATCTCTCTGCTTCTCCCGGAGAGTTGCAATCGGAGTATACATATATACATCTAGGTGTCCAGAGACCCCATCCAGACCCAACAAGCCCAAAGCCGAATCAGTATACAGAGACACGGGAAGCTTCTCAGAGCGACGAATTGAAGAAAGGAGAGGATTTATACTTGTGCGTTCTGACGAATGGATATCCTAGCCCATACCCGGATTTGAGAGAGTTACAAGTAGGATAAATACCTACCATGATACCAATAGCGAGTAATCTCTGTGAGAAAAAGGGAAGGGAACGCGCTGCCTTTTGTTTCTAGAATAGCATAACTTTCTCGGAAAGGAAATGGTATACTTCTACTATCCTTATTTCACCAAGTGGCACCAACTACCTAGTTCTAGCCAGCCTCCAGATAATCTAATGAGATTCTCGAGATCTCTAGCATAGATGTTTTGTTGCGTATCTGTATTTTCACCTACAGGCCCATCCCTACGAATGCAAGCTTGCGAGGAGCGATAGATAGATAGATATACTAGACTTGAAGAAAGAGACAAATCCCAATGATACTAGTATTGACTTTGAGTAGAATTCTCGCATTCTTGTCCAACTACCACGGAAAATCTCAACCGGTTTGTCTCTGTGGTTCTAGATATACACGATGTAGAAGTATCACTACAGATACCTACTCATTGCTTCTTCGTGTGTCGATATATCGATTGGTGATGCGTGCACAGCAATTGCATTCATCATGACGACCCCTTTACTCTCTCAGCTCAGTCCACTCCATTACAGCACTAGCAAATTGCAATTTCTCAATTCACAATTCTCAAACCACACGAACAAGAGATATTCAATCATCCTCAGCTCAACTACTTCACAACAAACCCCAATCCCATCCCCATCCCCATCCACCCACCCATCCATCAAATCCCACCACCACAAAAAACCAACCCCACTCCCCCCTCCCCAAACCAACCAATCACCCACCCCCACCCTCTAGCTTCCCCTAGCCTCCCTCTCCATCTACAACTTACCACACGCAAAAATAACCGAGTCAAATACAATTCCGTCATGCCTACCAACCTAGTCCATCTACCTAGTTAGTACCAAATCAACCGTTCACATTCCACTTCCCCATTTCGCACAAATCCCATAATTTGGAAAATTGAAAAAAAAAATGAAAACACGTAAAACGTCTCATCGCAATCTTCTAATTTTCTCATTCTCTTTCTTCATTTCTTTCTTTCTCTTCTTGTTGGGGGATTCGTATACGATATACAATATCATATTATCATATCATATATATGTCTATACATTGCACTAGCAATTTTTCCTCTCCGACGAAAACTTATTCATCTTCATCTTCATTCTCATTCTCATTCTTATTCTCATCGTCTCAAATATCCATCATATCATTTCACTCCATCCCCACATCATCCATCCACTTCAACCCACCTCCTCACTTCTATTCCCCGCACATCATCAACAACATCTCTCCATCCTCCTCCCCCTTCTCCCTTCATCCTCACACTTACTCTTAGAACTAAACCCCATCTACGAAACCCATCACCCGCATTACATCGCTGCTCATACCACGACATGATTCATCTGCGTCATAGATGAAGAAGGCCTACCTACCTACGCCAACCTGCCATCCCACGCCCCCTTCGACAGCATACGGAGAGAGGAGATTGCATGCTAGATACCGATAGCAACATCAATATCTCTCTCATCTCAGTCCTTTGAGAAACTTATACTCGCCCACTTATTTTGCTACTTAGCCCGTCGGTTCTCACACATGGATACATGGTACCGAGTGAAGGGGGAAAGTGGTCAGTACAGCAGCCTAAGAAATCTCGCCCACCTACAAACTTATATATCTCCCGAAAGCTTTCGAAAACCACCCCCGACCTACCTGTCGCACACCCACACACCATGTGCACCTACCTACCTACATCTCAAAACCCATTTTGCTCAAACTCTTTCGGATCACACAAAGTACACCATGAAGGAAACAAAATGATAGAGTGGGTAATTATCTGGTATTTATCAAGCCATTCATCTCCGCAACAAAAGTTTTTTGAGATGATAATCTATCTAATCCACCAGAAAAGCGAGTCCTATCTAAAAGTCCTTTCTCAACCTTTCTCTTTCCACCAGCTGTCTCATCAACAAGCCAAAATCGACACATCCTTTCCGTTCCTATAATAAAACTTGTTGATATATTCAAGAACAAAGCTTCTTCTATGATGTTCGATCCTCCATAAGCAATTGTGTGAGTAGTATGTCCGAGAGAAAAATATAAAAAAGAAAGCTAAAGCGTATGACTACAAGTGGAGGTCATGCCAACCTCCAACCCACTCCAAATCACCGAGATCCGACTGCTTGTCCTTTCGCTTGTCCTGATGATGATCTCGGCCCTTGGCCCGCGCCCATGGACATTCTCTGCCCTTGTCTTTACTAACAATATTCGATTTAGTATCCCAACCACCTGTACCGAAACCAGTGAAACCTAATCCAACGTTCCGACGTGGAGTACTTTGAGTTTTCCACGTATCAATAGATCTGTCAGAGGGTGATGCTCCTGCAAATGCCCTTCGACGATCTCCGAGCGCAGACCACTTATCGAAAGCAGTCCTCTTTGAGGGTGGTGAATAACGAGGTGAGTTTTGTTGAGTAGGGGTGTCGTGGAAAAAGAAGCCATCAGGCACCAAATCCTCATCAATATCGTGAGTCACTGTACGACTAGGTGCCACACTCGGGATATTGACGAATGATGAGGTGTGAGGTTCCAATGGAGATCTGCCAGCCTTATCATCATTGGTCTTGCTCTCGTGACTCCAAGTTCGCGAGTTAGCCTCTTGACGGGTTTGGAAGTGATTGTCGAGCTCTTCTTCCTCTTCCATCTCTTCGTCCCAGAGATCACCCCAACTCTTGGATACCATGTCGTTCTTCTTGCCAAAGACTGATGCCATAGATGGCAATGGGATTGGCTTTGCCATGGCGATTGGTAGAGATCCAGAGATGGGGGTAAGACTAGCCTTTGGAGGACCAGACTTCATGTGGCGGCGGATGGCTAGAGATTGCATTGAAGTTCCAAGGGAAGAATCAAGAATTGATTCCATTGAAGGAGTTTGTTCTCCAATGGAGAACCAGTCCTTGTTGCTTGCTTCGGAGCCGGGGAAGAGGTCCTCTGAGTCATAGTCTTCATCTGGAATGGCAGAGAGCTGGCGGAACTGTTGAGGTGGGCTGGCGTGCAATGCCTTGGCCCAAGGGAAAGATCCACCCACATCGAGTTGAGGGCTTTGGATGGAAGGTGTACGCAATGGCTCACGGTTTGAGCTGGGAATACCACGTCGATCGGCAGAACTGAAATCATCGGCGAACTCATCAAAGGTTGTAAAGCTAAGTACACGCTCGATTGCCTCACGAGCAGCGGCAAGTGATCTCTTTCGAGGGTCGAGGCTCATGCATTGAGCAATAACTTCGTAGGTATCTTGTGACATTGTTGGGAAGACATCAAAGAGTGATTGCTTGTCTCGAGTAAAGTCGAGGAAAAGTGGGTCCGACTCTGTGGGTGTTGTGAAAGGGTTGCGAGAGAACAAGATGTTCAACAGACAAATGCCAATGGCCCAGACATCGGCTTGCTCTGGAGAGTATCCCGCGCCAGCAGAGTCGTATTGTTCTGGAGACATATAGCGGTCGCTTCCTACCGTGGTTTCATATGACCACTTCTCGGAAGTTGCAAGGCCAAAGTCACCAAGCTTCATCTCTCCTGATTGGGTAAGGAAAATGTTTTCGGGCTTGATATCACGATGATACATGCCCTTGCTGTGAATGTATGCAACAGCGTCGATAAGTTGTAGCATAAATTGTCGGACATGTTCCGTTTCGAGCGGGCCAGTGCCAGTTCGAATAGCCTCGTAGAGGTCGCCTCTGGAGCAAAACTCTAGAACGATGTACACGTGGGCGTCGGTCTCGAAGGAGTGGATGAGGTTGACTATGTTTGGGTGAGAGCCAAGTCGAGCATGGCAGGATAACTCTTCAGAGTGTTCATCGATGGCAAATGACGAGTCTGCATCAGTCATCGTGGCAGATTTCTTGGTTAAACACTTGATAGCGACGATTTCGTCGGTAATTAGGTCCTTCGCCATGAAAACCATTCCAAATGAACCATGGTTGAGGGGGGATATCGTTTCAAAACGTCCATCAAGGACGACTCCGTCGTAAAACTTCTCTCTTAAGCACTCCATTGTTATGATGAAGAGTTGAAATAGCGAAGTGTGATGTGAGTGAAGAAAGAAGTGTGAAGGTCGAATAGGAGTGAAAGGTGCAAATTAAATAAATAAACTTAAAAACAAAAGTGCAGCTTTGAATACTGTTACAACCGAAATGTTTTTGGGCCCTGAGAGGTAAAGAATCGAGAGATACAAGTGGAATTCGTAAAAGCTTTTGTCTTCTCTAAACAAAGTTGATGGTGGCACAAGGAGAGCTACGCTCTTGATGATTGTCGGAGTGAATAAGTGAGGTTGTAGTTCGATCTGAATGAAGCAAGGCGATAAAAGGTGTATGGGCAATAAAACAAACTCGCAACGCTATATAAATGTATCCTAACCGCCGATAAAAAGAAAATGATAACTGGTGAATAACTCCGGATCGTAGAAGTAGGGTGTTCAGAGGCTCATAGGGGGTATTTCGAATACGCTTTGACAAAAGAGATTTATTGGATTTGTTCGTTAAATGGGACAAAGAAGAGAGACTCGAGGTCTGGTAATAAAATAGAATAAGGAAAGAGTTGAAGATCGTTATGCTGACATAGGAGTCAGACGTTGATAGAACGAGTGTCTGAGGTTTCGAAGGTTCCTCGAGTAGTACGGCTTAACGTACGTGTGGGTAAGTTGAGGTGTGACGTCGATTTGGTGGGTCGAATCAAGAGAGCAATCACACAATTGAAGTCAATCAATTGTGCAATATCGAGATGGAGTGACGTGATGATTTGGTAGAGCAGATGTGATCGATGACTTGCACAGATCTGGAGTGAATGATCTTGCAGTGGAAGACTTTGACGGCGTATGTATCACAGATCGGAGATGATCAAGTTGGCTATCGTGATAAACGCTTCAATGTTGACTTGGAACTCATGTGTTTACTGTGGTTTATTTGTAGAACAAGGAAGTAGAAGATATGACTCTTCTTCTGCCAATGTTCGAAATTGTAGGTTGACGACAATAGGAGTTCGTTGGGAAGTAAATCAGGAGAGGATGATTGATCAAGAGGTGGAAGAATGCGGTTGGACCTTTGATGAAGTTGGTGATTACAACAGGATCTGCAAAGCCTTGTGAATGTTCGGGAATGTAGTTGTTGCTGTGGTAGCAAGCAGTGTGACGCAGAACGAGGCAAGTGATGGTGGTTGTAGCTTTATCAAAGGAATGGGCGATGGAAAGGGAGAGAAGATGGTAGAGGGTTCGTCAAGAGTTGGAAGGGTATCTCGGTCGGGATTGTTTGTTGATGAGTTATGAAGTCGAAAGTGTAGAAAGAGGAGAAGAGGTAAAAGAGAGGAAGGGGGAAGGGAGGAAGTTAACTGCGAACGACGATGATTGTAGCCAGTATTATCGTACGCACATATGTGGAGTTGAAGGTGTGAGGTGGATGAGTCGGCAGGTGGAAAGGCGAAGAAGAGTAAGTAGGATGAGTCGAAGGGAAGGGAACAGTAAGCGAAAGCAAAGGCCGGTTTTTGGAGTGGGTGGAGTGGGGTGTAGGGATATCGAGATGAGGTGTCTAATAAGTGTCTGTTTCCTGCCAGGGGTCTCCAAGGAATGGAAAATGAAGGAACCTTGTTGCAGTTTGGTTTGGATAGATAAAGAAATCAAGAAATAAATAAATAAACTTGGGGCTAGAACCAGATGGGCGTAGATGTGGCTTTTGGATCGTGGGGAGTTCAGCTGTCGTTGTCACTTGTCCCTATGGATCTTTAGAGTTGGAGATTGAGGTATGGATGGATGGATTTAACACGCAACTCTCACGAGTATTCGAAATAAGAGAAAGGCTTGCAGAAAAGGATCTTGAGGTTTCAAAGTTGAAAAGTGATTGGTTGAGAGTGGTGGTGGTAAGGTTGAAGGTCTATTTTGTTGAGTGTGAGTGTAGTTGTAGTTGTAGATGTAGATGTAGATCTGGATCTGGATATGGATTTGGATTTGAATGTCTAGATAGATAAGTAGAGTACGAATCACTAGGTGGGTGAATGAATACGGAGTGCAGTCGTATATGGTAGTAAGTGTACCTAGGTATCTGGGAGATTGTGCCTAGGGATTAATCAATCTCGTGTGTTGGTGTATATAGATATGATATATATTGTTCGTAATTGTTCGTAATTGTTCGTAATTATTCGTAATTATTCGTGGTCTTTCATGAAACGGGTCGTAATAATGGTAAAGTAATAATATTGACTTGTACCACCTGCAAGAACTTGTTGTCCTTCCCTTTCTGTATGTCAGAATCCGCGGCAAATGATTATAGGGAAACAGTCGCAGATCTTTTCCTCGGTTGATAATGCGTGATATGAGGATAGGACAAGTTTAGGGATTCTTGTACGAGATAGGTTTGTGCGAGATAGTGTGTCAAGTAATGTTGAAGATGGAGACCCGTATGGCTGAGCTTGACGTCGGGAAGAAAAGGGAAGGGAGGGAAGGGAAGGGAAGGGAAGGGCCACAGATAAACTAAATAAGTTCCAAGTCCAAACAAACCCAAATATTCGAAATAGGCTTGGTAACCTCGACGGCCTTTGACTTTGGATGACTATTATGATTGTAAATCGAAGGTTCGCGAGGTTCCAGGGTGAAGGTTTGAAAAGTAATTGAATCACTTGGGTTCTTGAATTTTCTAGTACGTTCAGAAAATGTGCTCAAGTGACCAAGATTTCAAACGGTACAATGTATGAGATGACTGACAGGAGAGGAGGCGAGGCGAGGCGAGGTGAGATGAGGAATGAAGTGGAGTGGAGTGAAGTGAAGTGAAGTGAGGAGAGGAAAGAGTCTGGAGTCTGGAGTCTGTATAGGCAATAATATCGAACAAACATACATCTATCTATCTATCTTCCTGTCATCATTTTCACTCTTCACGTCTGATTGGATTCACACCATCTGTCTGGTATGTACCTATCCTTATCATTGGATATCATCAAAGAACTTTGTTGTCGTTCACTTCACCCCAGATTTTCAATGAGATGTGTACACACGCTCAAGCCTCCAAGCTTCCCAAGTCGGATGGTTAGCCAGTCATTCATTCAATTCACACCCCACCCTTTCATTCTCTCACTCTCTCTTGTTCTTTCAAGGCACGCCTTTCTGTAAATAATATTGGCATACCATTTCTCAAGCCTTCTTGTCGAAAAGGTCACTGCTTGACCGTCTCCGGTATAACATTGATGATCGATCGCTCAAAGGAGTTTCAGAGGAACCCAAATCCTGGACATTCCAGGGTTCCAAGTTCCAACAAGGAATCGATGGGAAGCAGCAGCGACTTTTATCAGCCACCACATACCCAAAGAAGCTTAACGTGGTGAATTCTATCCCAAGAGTGATCGTACTGGTCCAATCACTCTGAGAACATCGGAGACATCTCATCACTAACATCTTGCTGCTCTTACATGATTCTATCGGGTTCTTTCCTGTGAACGCCTCATGGATATGCAATTGGCTGCTAATCTCAATATCACCCAAAGCCCATGAATAACTCATCTTACCTTTATGCACGCCCCTAAGAAATGCATGCATTGCATTACCGTCGTCTGCCCACACCAGACCACACTCACCACACACACCATCTCAGGTCACAGCAGAGCCAAACCAATGATTTGGAAGCATTGAGTCAAAGAGAGGGACTTTACCGCCTTTTACTGTGCCTTCTTTGGCGCTCTCATATGCTCTCTTTCTTTCTATCTTTACGCCTTCAAGCTGGGGAGAATACCGTTACCATTGGTGGTTCTAGATTGGCATTAATAGATAGATTATAGCTTGGGCTTTGGCTAAAGAATGACGAATATGGCGAGTACCTTGGCTGTTCCCATTCATTGAGATTCAATGCCATGCTACGAGGCCTACATTCGATCTGTTATGTAACTCCGGAGTCCGTCTCTGACTGCTAAGAAAAAAGGTCTAAAGGTGTGTTGAGGTTCGAGAAGGCTGTGTCGGCAATAGCGAAGCTAAATTTAAACACGTTTTCGGCTTGAACGTCTGGACTCTCATGGATGAAGCCAGATGACATAAATTCTAAAATTCGTTGAGGATTCTCGAAGGAATTGCTCAATGACTTTGGCGATAACTACAAGGATACATATCATCAGTCATCACGATTGACATTCTGACTTGACTTATTAGGTCCCTACAACTAACTGTAGCCGTACAATGTACGACGTACTCGTGTTGGAATGACACAACCCGATTTGGGGGTTTCTCGCCTGTGGAACTTGCTCGAAACAGTAATAAAAATCATGAGAACACATAAGTCAGTACGAAACTCGCAATTCTCTGAATGATTCATCGTAATTTCACAAAGCAGAAACAAGCCAACAAACAGGACACATAATCCAGTTTTCAGATCACTCAGATCCATTCAACGGAGGAGCTTAGTAACAATTTAGATAACCCGTCACTGTCAGACAGACTACGAACCAAGCCTCCAAATGATTTCTGATCTCTTTACGGTAAGATACCGCTGCTTCCGACACTCCCAAAAAGGGTTGGACATACCTAGTACCTGAGGTCAAAGGTCGTGTGACCATCTATTTGGATTTTGGAAGGACAAAGAATTATTTCGGCCATTGGTGGTGGTGATGGTGGTGGTGTTGTTGTTGTTGTTGTTGTTGTTGTTGTTGTCCTTGTCCTTGTTGCCATCAAGGAGGAAACCCCGATTGAAAATGTTATTGAAGAGGCGAAAGAACTTGGTTTGGCCCAGCCTCTTGTTTTCTCTCATCATTCCGTAGATCAAGGCAATGGTAATAAATCACATCAAATCATTTGATATGATTTGATATGATGTTACACGTATACATTTTACACATTACATATACACTTACGTTTTCTAAACCAGTGACATGCTTTTCCATTGCTGCAGTCTGCACGCAACTACCTAGTTTTGCCTCTACAGGTAACTTGCAAGGTGCTCGTTTCTTAATTTAGTTTGTAGGACATTCCGATGTTGCTTGCAACCCTTATCACGTTCGACAAAGGGGGCGATTTTGTCGTGATGATGTGGAAAAAGTCACCCCATTGCTCAGCATATGAAGCACCAGACGACATCTTGTTGTTGCATAGGGAGGTAGTAATGTTTTCAATATTTACGGAGGTCTCCGCTCACACTTCTTCCATCGACTGCCCCGTTCTGATGAGACCAATTCAAGACTGTGAGAAGATGGGATCTTTGCATCAAGACCAGATGGATCCATTAATTCCAACCATAATTGAATCGGCATGACTCTCCAAGCAAATCAGCAGACTCGCAGAATCCACAGAATATTGCTTGCTAAAGCCTCTCGTTTGAAGATCCTCTGGTTCATTCACTGGGAATTCATTGATCTTGAAACTCGCGCTTATGTACTGCTGTAAGGTTACCTCGTTACCTACTCCATAATTCGGATGTTTTATGCATCGAATATCAATTGATACACGTACGCTTCTTGTTTCCCCCGCCGTCCTGTATTCCGGATTTGTTTCTGGGCGGTACCTCTTCACTATTGTCCGCAGGAAAGTTAAAATTCTTACATGGTGAAGCACGGCTACGCTACCCTGAGTATGTATGTGAGCATGTTGGGATGTCACACGTATATTAATACACATCATTCTTGTCGTCGTGGGGTAAGTGGATGGGTCGTACAGGGCGAGTAGCTGGGATGCTTTTTGTTCCTTCGACTTCAGGATGGCTCGTTTGGGTGACTTGATTTATGTCTGGTTATGACCGACTATGACTATCGAGTCTTCGAATGGCAAAAGACGAATGGTTTCATTCGGGAATCTCGTCACAACTCACCTGTCTGTCTCCGTAGCGATCAACAGAGGAAATACAATCTGTCCTTGAGATTGACAGCGTCACTCACTCTATTATCCTTTGTGTTTTGTGGAAAAAGGCACATCTTCATTTAACCTACCTATCGTGAAAGATTAAGTCATTTCCCTGCACCCTCACATTCCTTCCCATTCCAGACGTGCCGATTCGTGCGATGCACATCGAGCGCCCTGTGCAGTGCTTGTTGCTCAAGAGTACTGCACGAAATGAATTACCGTTTGCTTCAAGAGACGTATGATCGACGACCCTTTCCGCCGATGTCTCCATATCTAACTAGTCACTAGTCACTAGGGAAGCTGTCGTTCATTGGAAATGTCATGTCAGGCCATGCCATGCCATTCAAACCCCCCCCGAAACTCTCCCTCAGATATAGTATGATCTACTTGATAGACTCATCTTTCTTTTGATATTTCTTCCGAGAAACAGAAATCCACACTTGAAGTCTCGCATATTATGATGCTTCATCAGCTTTAGAATGAGAAGATGCTGAAAATGGAGTCCCATGATTGGATTTTCATTTGGGATTGAAACATTTAATTTGTATGAAATACAACATGGTTTGAAACAACTGGGCGGTAATTATGTGATTAAGGATGTTGATTGCATGTCCTGGGGATTTATTCGCTGCACTGGAGTGATTGGATATATACCTAGGTTTATATGAATAATAAGTATGTACCGGTATGCATATACACACACATACATTTACATACATTTACATACCTACATGAACGTACATGATATTGATGATATTCATGATATTCACGATATTCATAGCTAAATGATGTATGATGATATCAACAGAGAAAGCCCAGCTTCTTATCTCTATTCGAGGACGTGCTGTGATGAAATGGAAAACTCAAAATTGGAAGCTTCATATTTCCTTCCTGAATATCCCCCATTTGGGAACGTCATAAAGCTCTCATTTCAGCTCAGATAGGAAATTCAACAATTTACCATCATTATCATTATCTTTATCTTTATCTTTATCGCTATCACGCATTGCTTATCGCCCCCACAAAATAAATGTATGTGAACTTGTTGGGTTCCCACTGCTTCACCCCAGTCAACACGCGACTTTTTCACTATCATCCCCATCCCCATCGCGTCGCATCGCATCACATCATCCTTTTCTAGTCTGTCCCAGTGTTCCTCATCTACCCCACAGATTGCGCCAATAGCGGCATATGGATACCGCTTCCAGAATCCAGAGAAAGAGATGAAGGTAGCATTGGAGAGGATGATGAAGGTAGCATTGGAGAGGATGGTGAATGTGAGACGGTACCTGTCATCACGATAATTTCAATCCTTCTTTCTGACGGAGCAAGCAGCGGTGAGGGGCACTTGAGTGTGAAGATGATGAAATTTCTTCCTGTGACAATCCTTCAAGATGAAAACGTTGGGTACGAGAGAAGGAATATAGACTGACACGGTACACACAACCTATATCTCGGAGAACAGTCTATATTACCTATCTCTCTGCTGAGTCTACTCCCCCGTCCATACTGGGGAGCTATCACGAACAGAGTTCTATCTGACTCTCGCCGTACAGATGAAAATCCCACCGTCGATATCTTCCGACACCTACTTGACATCCATCCATCGTCAGAGTAGCCCCCAACCAAGCCATACATATCTCTTCGTGGATACGTACCTATCCAAATATAACATTATCATCATCGAATGATAGTCTCGGTTCCTATCTACCACTTTAGAGCTCACCATAGCTTTATCGACACACTTGAAGCTCCAAGATGGGTCTAGATAGCAATCTTTACTGTCACTCGTCCCGTCCCATACATATGTGCCTCTCTAGCATGCATAATGCATCACGGGAAACTAAGGATATGTACATACCATGCCTCCAACGTGAGAGTGAGTCCCTGGGAGGGACGGACATGATTTACCATACTTTATTTAGTCCCAAAAGTGTATGCAGCCACGAATGATTAATAAATGTACTCTTGAATGAACCGCGGCTGGAATTTGTTTTTCGTTTTTTTTGTTTTGTTTTTTGAAACTTGCTCTTTCGTGAATTTTGAATGGATCAATTGGATTGTATGAAAGTGAATCAAACATTGAGTAATGATTATCGAGTGGAGTTGATCGATTCACACCCACACCCACACCCACACCCACACCCACACCCACACCCACACCCACAGCCCACCATCTTTTTTCGTTCTTGGTAAGTGGGGGGTGTATCCAACCCTCAGTTCAAAACCAAAATGTGAATGTGATCAATTGCAAAATTTCAGAATACGTCGGTCGTCTTGGTCTCTGACCATTCACGAGAGAGAGGAAGCCCATTCCTTCGCAATTATTATATCTTCACCGCCATCATAATTTTAAAAAAAGGTGATTGCCTCACCTTGCTCCTCATTTTCCCTATGCTCACTGCCAGATCCGGAACATTATCAACAGAACACAGAACACGTTCCGCGTACCTACATGCTACTTATCCCATATCGTGGTCCTATCTCCAGAGTCCAAACCTCTTTGCCGAAACCCCCCGTTTACTAACTGCATGAAGCCTTCGCCCACAGGGCTTTTCCTGAATATTACAGCATAAGCTTGCATCTTGCATGAACAGCCTGAATTCATCCATACGATTTACGAACCAAGAGTTTTGGCCTGAGGGATTCAAGCAGGACGGGTGAGAAGTCAAAATCACCATATTGACGAATCAGATTCTCGAATTCATCCTCGACCCTTCTACCCTTCCACCCTTCCACTCTCGTGCATAAAGAACGGAACGTGCGATTCCTAGCAAGTAGACTTGGTAGTCTAGGGTCGATCTTTGCCAGCGCGCATCCACGCATTGCCTAAGTCCTTACCACCCATCCAAGATTACGAAAGAAGCTCGCGAGAGTTCACCGCTATCTCTCTTCGACCTCGGGGCTGTTTTTTTTTTCCAATCCTGTATCGAGGGAGAAAGAGGAATTCATCTAGAAGGATTCCCAACTTGATAAAATGGAAGGCAAACCACGAGTTAAGGTGGTATTGTTGGATATCGGTGAGTGATGAAAATTTTTCACTCGGGGATTTACGGTTCCTATTTGTTCCTGTTCCTGCTTTTCTACACATCACCCGTCCGCAGAATTTTCTCGGGAATGGAATCTTCGGATTACAATGGATCACGTGGGTGAGATTGGAAAATGGTAGTGAAGTAGACTTGGGGAGGAAGTGAATGTGTGATGGAAAAGGCTGATGGATTGATTCTTCTTCTGCAGAGGGCACGGTGTGTCCGATTTCTTTCGTCAAGGATATCTTGGTAGGTTGACAATTTCCTTGCTATTCCTACTGGTCGATCTTTCAGTAGTCTATGCATTAAGTCATGAGTCGCATATTCTTTCCCTTCTCTCTTGCGATGCGCTTTACGCGAAACAAGTAGTTACCTTGTTGGTCTAGTTACCAGTCGAATTCAACGGGTTCCGATTGCGATGATCAATCACTGTCTCGATGATATATGCCTTTACATCTTTCCACGACTGCGGAAAACTGTTGTACTACGTAAGCTCCGGCATACAAATATCTTGGGGGCAGGAAATTAGTCATGTGAGACTTGTGATGAGCTGTCGTGTTACCAGTGCTCTGTCTTTCAATGCTTCTACCCCGCTATCATTGGTTGGGATGGCAACGGGGAGGATCGTCATTATTTGCAACATTGACGTTAAACCAGAGGATAGTAGTGGAAGAAGATAGAAGAGATAGGTGAATTGAATCGCAAGTGTGATGGTATCTACGTTGAGGAGAGAATGGAGTGACACTAATGCAAATGGTCGTCTGCCACGTTCTAAATGAATGTGTATGGTCAATCCAACGTACAGATCAGCGCCCATATCATTTGCGGGGAAGAGCCAAACTCCTATAGGCGCCTATCTATGTATGATGGGTTGGTTGCACCGTGTCCCATCAATAATCTCACTCCATATCATCAGCGTTCTGTTTCGTTTTGTTTTACTGCAAAGCAACCCCCCAGCCCCCCTGAATCCGGAGTCCCACTCATATACATGATACTGGCTTTACCCCGCCATTAGCAAGCCGGTACCCGATACATTTGAAACATGGACTTCTATGTATCAATGCGTTTGTCGGATTAGCTCATCTGGCAGGAAACTTTCCACATCACCTTTTGCCACGAATTTAGACAGCAATGCTCAATTACTGACCTCCCCATCAGTTCCCATACGCTCTCGCAGCTCTACCAGAAACACTCTCCACTCAATGGGACTCTCCATCCTTCCTCCCTTATCGCTCTGCCTTCCCGCCTGAACACGCCTCTACCCCTGACGCACTCCTTTCTCATGTCCGCGATCTCATGGCTCAGGATCTCAAGATCCCATACCTCAAATCTCTCCAAGGTTATCTCTGGCTTCGTGGTTATGAATCGGGCGAATTGAAGTGTCCACTTTTCCCAGATGTATACCCAACGATGGAGAAGTGGAGAGACAATGGAGCAAAGATTTGTATCTATAGTAGTGGGAGCGTGGCAGCGCAGAAGTTGTTGTGGAGATATACGACTGAAGGGGACTTGAGGGGTTGCATTTGGAATGGGCTTGAAGGGCATGGTGGGAGAGAGCTTGAAGGCGGATATTGGGATACCGTTAATGCGGGGCTGAAACAGGATATGACGAGTTATGAGAAGATTGCCAAGGCGAACAATGCGTTGGGTGAGGTGGGTGAGTGGTTATTCTTGAGCGATAACATCAAGGAGGTGAGAGCCGCAAAGGAAGCTGGAATGAAGAGTTTCGTGGTGGTTAGAGAGGGGAACGCGGAGGTTACTGCGGAGAGGGAGGGGCAGCTTCTTGTGGAGAGCTTTGGAGAGGTTGAGAAGTGGGCTGAGGTTACTGCTGAACAAGGATGATGGTGATGGTAACTGAAACCGATCATCGATCATGTATAACGAAACAAAAGTCTTTCTATCAGATTCTCAGTCATCTATGTCATTGATTGTTACCAACGTGCTGCTTGTCCCTCCATGGCGCAATGTCTGTATCGTACTCTGAACTCCCTTTCCAGTTCACCATCCTGCAATCTCTGTCATGTTCAATGAATGCTTCACTTCTGGCAAATACATCTACTAGTCACTCCTCATCACACCTCGCAAACTATCCCTTTCAACCCCCACAGTCTTCCATGTCTCCTCAAATCACCACCGCACTTATACATCCCTAACCCGATCAATCACATGTGAAAAATCTTTCAACATCTAAATTCAACGAGGCTCTCGAATCCATCACATCACACATTAGAAACGTTGCAAAGATGCAAGATGCGCAGAATACTCTGCATGTAAAGCGTGATCTCGAATGATATCCCAAGCACTGCATGGTTGAACCGCTGCTTTGACGTCTGAAGAAGCGTGTACGCTGGGTGTCTGTCTGTCTGTCTGTCTATCTATCTATCTATCTGTGGAATATGTTCCTTTCTCTTTCTCTTTCTCTTTCTCTTTCTCTTTCTCTTTCTCTTTCTCTTTCTCTTTCTGCATTCTTTGCTTTTTGTTCTTTTCCTTTTCTTGCTTGTCGAGTTGGGTTAGGGATGATGGAAATTGTGTGCTTTGGTTTCTGTGGTATACTGTAGACTGTAGGGATGGATGATGAGGATTTTGATGCTGGAAGCATGTTGTATGTGGGTGGAGTAGTGTTGAGTGTTGAGATTGTGTTGAGATTGAGATTGAGATCAAAACGGAAGCTCGAGTTCGAATGTTTCGAATGGCTGATTGTTGTTGAGGGGTAGAGCGATGAGGTTAGGATACTGGCAAATCGAGGAGTAGAGAGGTCGTGGTAAGGGATCAGAGATTGCGTGGGAGGCAGGATGAGTATATGCGTATAGAATTTTAGTAGGAAGAATGGTGGAGGGGGGAATAGTTCGATGGTGGAGGTATGGTAAGAGGAGCAATTCAAGTGGAATGTCTCTATAAGAGATAGAAAGCACGGCATGGTGGTGGGATGGTGTCCTGGCTTGGAGGTGGGCGAGCTCGATGGGTAAGAGGTCCTGAAGTATTTATATCGTCGTATTCCGGTCGTGTGCCGAATTTCGATAGTAAGGTGTTTCCTGTGGAAACATGACGTGTTCGAAATTTGGCTTTTGCAGAGGCTCGAAGTCGATGGGATGGAGAGGTTAGAATAGAATGTAGATGATTGATCTTTCAGATTGCTATCAGGCACTTACTCTCGGCGGGTGGGTTGGTCTAGACAAGTTCGTCAAATCACTTCAGTCAAAGAAACTCAACGTCCCAGGAATCACTCATGGGGACCGGCAACAGCAGAACAGTTGTCTCTCCTTCATTTTCTTCGATATCATGGCTGTTTCTTCATCCCTCTGCCCTCCGCGGCATCGAGTGCGAACTGTTTCGGCGGTAATAAAAGCCTGGCCCCTCGTGTGCTGTATTTCTCGATTTTTTTCTCCTTGGATTGGGAATTGATTGGTCGATTGCGGAGAACTGCTTTCACAAAAGATCAACACATCAAATGCGTCGGAAATAAGCACGAAGGTTGATATTGTATAATAGTGAAGAAAATCTGGTCACCAAGTTTAACAACATTAACAGGTAAAATGCTGATAGGGGGTGACATAATTGGATGTTCCAGAGGTCAAAGTTGATATGATTTGAATGACTGCGCAATAGGTTTACACTGTAAATATCAGGCACAAGGAGGTAATCGACTAACATGTCTTCGTGGCATAAATGTGTAATCTAGCCTGGCATATCCATTTCGATACCCTGTTCATTTTTATACGTCGTGGGCAAAATCTACAAAGAAGTAATCCCCAAGCTATCATGCAGCCATTACAAATATTCTCACCTCAAATATCCACATCTATGCTCTCCACGCCATCGGTACTTTGTCGGTATTCTGCTGAAGGCGTTCATCACGACCTTTGCAGTACGTAAACAATAATATTGAAGCCTGGTCTCTGCTGCTGAATGTGGTATAGCTAGTGTTGTAGTGTTTGCTTTGAGGCCCATAGATTCATGATGGTAGTCGGATGGTTCTACAGATCGGCCATCTTTCTTACTGATAATTTTCTCCTTTTCGGTTGCATGTTTAAACTACATTAACCCGCGATAGAGTTTCAACAAATACAGTTGCGTGGCTCTGGTCGGCCAGACCGAGATGATGATGAATGGTACAATCAGTTCGCCGTAGTTGCATAAACTTAATACTATAACAGTTTTAGGTGTATGAGTCACTGTAGACGTTGCAGAGATAGTTATGAAATAGTGAAAACGATAAAATCTTTCCTGTAGGCTTGAACACAACTCTCCATAAACTCAAGCACACAAGTGCTGATATTCGATTCGCGCATTTTAGAGATAGCGGGTGATGGTTCAATAAAGTCTCATCCATTCATATTGAGCCCATGAATCTTAATCTCTTATACCGGGCCGTATGCTTGGCTTTGCGCGCTACGCTCGGCATAATGAATGCTTAATATATGGATTTGAAAGACACTGTGCTAAATTGATTCGCTGCTTTCACATCTAGATGGTGGTGGTTACAGCTGTATTTACAACGCTGTGCTTGCTCTCCATGTAGGAATATCTGTGCTCGAGTAGCTGCGAGGAATTTGAGCAGATACAGACGATGAGTTGTCAACATCGTGAATAAGAGAGATCTAATACCCGGGTGACATTCTAACAATGATTATGTTGATATTTGAGAATATAACAGGGACACCAATGCTACCACAAACGCTGAATTTGTCTAGAGTATTGATGATATTAAGAGTGTTAGTATCATTGGAAACTTCAAGAGAGAGCAGAGTCGGGTTTTCGGATCCATAATGCAGCCCGGTCCATTGAAAAATGCCTGCAGACGAGCTACGTCTGGGAGACAGCGATCAGTACAGGTTTCTTCCTTAATATCGAATCGATCATTGCACGAAAAGAAACTTTAAAAATCATTTGCAGAACAAAAGAGATGTTTCTTCGAAGGTCCGTATGAAACATATGGGATTCTTCTCATGCCGAAAATTGGCCTAGCAATTTGTGGGGTCAAAACTAAGAATGGAAGAAAACGAACGAAAAGAATGAATACTCTTCTTAACAACCCTTCAGGAGATCATAAATTAGATGGAGTGACATGTGCGACTGGAGAAGGGGAGCGCATTAGCGTATGAGGGGGGGCAGCGAGCTGTGCTCGCATTGCGGTTAGGCTGATGAATATTTAGGAAGGTCGTGGCCGGGCATGAGTGGGACCTCACGGTAGAGGATCTGAACATTTAGAATGGTACCATGTGGAAGTAGAGATCCGAGATAATGGTTCCGGTAGACGGAGCGTGAGTGGATAGGGATAAGTGGGAATGTGAAGGGATAAGTTTGACTTTGTAGACATGTACCGAATCAAAAAGTTGAAAGCACTAATCAACAGAACTACAAAAGATGGATGGAAGAAAGTGAATGAATGAGGAAGACAGAGTGAGTGGTCCGTGTTCTTTCTATCTTATACACGGACAGAAACTCTTGCTATGCGCACAGACTAACGGCGGTCCGTACCGTAGCGCGGGAGCTAAACAAGCGAGAATTTAAGGAGGACGGTATTCAATTCAATTAAAGCTGATACATTGAATTGACCACGGTTATTATTTGCCATCTCCTCCAAGTATAATTGTACGAGAATCAAATGCCGAATGAGGCTTGAATATTAGCGCGTTGAACTTGCTCTGTCTTCTTCGGATGGCATCATATTCCTACTTGGAAATGGTAAGACTAAATCGAAATTATGGAGATGGTTGAATTGGGATCTTGTACTGGCCACTTAAACGGCCATTTGAAGTGCTTTGCAAATGACATAAAAATAACAACAAATCAAGTATATCCCAAGAAGAGCTCTCAACGATGTTTGATCCTCTCAAAGGGAACACCCATCAAAATTTCCTCAAAGAATCAATTGCTCACAAGGCTTACAGTTTAGATTCTTGGGTACACCGAACATCGAACCACAATAGCGTTGCCTAGGGACATGGGGGCGGCGAGGGTCTCAAAATAAAATATGTAGCCCCACCAAGAAAGAATCACCGTGACTGGCCGATGGTGAGAAATGACGCGAAGAAATTTTTCTCGAAATGCGATCCACTATATATCTTTAAAATGGGATATCGTCGTGTATGAGATGATGCATACAAATGTTCGCATAAGCATTAAGCTTGAAGAGAAGCTGGGGCTATAACCTGAATTGACGATCTGCGGCGCATAATTAATTTCAGTGGCGCAACCTTTGTACATGGATGTTATGAATTTCCGGAAGTATTGCGTGTGACAAGCCGGAATGCTTCGCCGACATGTAATTTTAAATTGAGCCTTGAGAACAGTCGGTATAGCAAATCATCATCATAATCACTGGAATTTTACGCCACATCCAAGATCCAGAAGAGAAGGTAAGACCGTAGAATGTCGGTCAACAAAATCTATGCCACATCTTATGCACCTGCTCAAATCAAGAAGGCTCTTTGTTACGGTATCGTAGCCGTCAGGCAGCAGTAGATGTGATGGAGCTGGTGTAACAATTAACTTTTGCTAATCAAGCACATCTAGGTCTGACTAACGTGGTATCACAAACAACTTTTTTCGGCAGGTCGTATACCTAGATAGCTAGTTTGATATGCCACAGCACTTTCTTGAGCGGCTTTAGTGGGGATCTCATGCAGACGTGGCGTTCTGAACGTGTTACACAGGTTCTAAATTCTTGTGCGACGTTTCGATGCCCCCATTCATGCAGTCTAATTTCAGATCGAAAGATTGCAAGCACTAGCGCTACGTGACCTTGAATTTTTGGCCGTCGATATTGGAACTTCCTTGAATTGTAAGTTCACTGATCCACCATCATTAATATCAGAATACCAAGCGCGGAGAGTGTCTCTGGAGTTTGAAAAGCCTGTGCCTCGAATTTGAAGATCGAGCATTATTGTGCTTACCATAATGTTATCCCCCGCCCTCACTGTAGTACGAGCCCAGCCGAGTAGCATTTTTGCTTTGATCGCTAAAGTAAATAGTTCCATAGCTTATCCAAGCTCTCGTTTATCACCCATGTGTATGACACGCTCCAAATCTGCAACAGGTCCATGCTAGTGTCATCCTTTTCATGCCCAATGTGTCGGATATAAGATTTTGAGGATTATGCGTAATACAAACACAGAGCTATATTTGTTATTCTTGTTATCTTTGGCTTGATGGGAGAAAGTAAGAGAAATTAAACCCTCGTCACTACGGAAGGAGAGTCTCCATGGCACCCTCGGTGGAATTTTCAGTAGGAATGAATGAAGTCAATGTTTAAATATCCTTGCCTTGTAGACTAGTCCGTTTACCTAAGCGTCCTTCCAAACGTCGCGGTACTTTGCCCACTCCTCAAAACCTGAATAGTCAGTCGCTTTTCAGGTATGTGAACAAAAGTGACACTCACCTAGTTGTTTTAGTTCGTCTACATCATTTGCTACGCCGTCATAAAACATTCTCCTCATACCTTGCTGGTATAGTTTTTTGATACAAGCATCAAGTAATTCCGGGCCTATTGGCTCATTTCTCTGTGCTTCGGACCAATTAGTATCAAAAGGTTTATTATGGTGAAGCAGCTTAGATCACTTACGAGAAATACATATGCATGTTACTCCACCAACATCATGGCCAATCCGCCCTGCCCATGGTAAATTAGAAGATATGGAGCTGCCACAGAACGGGGTGTATGTGAGCGCCGTTGCAATAATCTGATCTCCCTCGAGACATATGATAATGTCTTTCACGTTGGGCCCGTTCATTAGAGCAAAGTATTGATCGAACCATCCCATATTACCTTGTTTAATAGATGCTTCCTCGACCAAACGAAGTACCTCAACCATGTCATCTTGTACACTCTGCCGATACCTAAATTTTTCTTGACGCTGATTTTGCTGATATTTCCATTTGGTAAAGTCTAGAATCAGGTCATATACATGTTGTCCCTGACCTCTTAACTCCTTGTTGAGTGTCCAGCCTCTCCGGCGGAACCACTCATCATTCGCAGTCAATTCTGCGGATGAAGAAAGAGGTGGTCCGTACAACAGCCTTGGAAAAATGCTCCCCAGGTGAAGACGAATAACGCCTCGTGTGCCTCTAAACTGTCCAATAGCATGATTGTGAAGACTGAGACCAATGCCCTGTTGTCGATAGGTCTTTCCTACGACAATAATCGCTAGTGATGCGATGAGTCTTTCGCCTTCTTGATCGACGTATGAAAGATATGTAGCACAAAAACCTAAGACTTCGCTGGTTCTTGGGTCCCGCACTACATAGTGTTTTCCATAACCTGGGCGACGAAGTAGAGACACGAAAGCCTCAACGTCAATGGAGAACCGGACATCAAAATTGTCACTCCAGAGCTTGAGAACACTCAGTACATCTCTGGATTCATTCCATTGGTCAACGGCCCAAAGCTTGGGTCGAGCTGCCTCCATCATACCAGACGCAGAACTAGTTATACCTATGTTAGGACTAGGTTCCCGCTCTCCAAAGATCACTGCAGCTGCGCCTTCCATATCTTCTGGTGTATATCCCGAGGTTAAGATGACTGTAGGGAACGGAATCGAATCTTGCTCATTTACTTGATCACTGCATACCATAATGAGGCTAAAATAGGCCCAGAAATTAGTAGTTGTTCAAAAGAAAGACTTCCAAGGGAATTAAGAATTGACAGTATGTGAGAATACGTAGGAAATATAAAGAAAGCCTTCAATCAAAGTATGACTTCCAGGAACATGACATAAAACACTAGGTTAAGCATACCAAGGCTTGTGATCGCTGACTGCAAAGAGGACTTCTGCGATTTCGAACTGATGCTGATGTTCGGGATGATCCACGAAACAAAGTATAATGACATGGCTTCTTTTTATGAAACCCAAATGAGTTGAAGTAATACCATTTCTATGTTGGTTAGTATTGACCTTGTCAAATCGGATATTCCAATTACCTTCGTGTGTAAGGGATATGCCGGACTTTGGCGTGTCTCTTGGCCAGAGCCCGTCCTAAACACTCAAAGGGATCACTGGTGTCTGTAACGTCTTGACTGATCGGCACTACAATTGGAGTTAGAAGTACCAGAACGTCTGATTCGCGAAGCGATCGTATTTTCGACAAGAAATCCGCCGAATCTCTCAGTATCGTAGCTGAGGTATTTCCTTTATCCGGCTGATCTTCTGATATATCTGATGAGGCAGAGATAAAATCTTCGTCAGTGTCGCTATATACAGTTAGATCGCTCACTGCAACTGCGTTGTAAACAAAAGTTAAGGTGTATACATCGATTCTGTAATGTTTCCTGATGCCGCAATGGAGGACGACATAGCGTGGCTGAGACCTGTTTTGAAATCAACATTTTGACCTTTCATCAGCGTTTCAAAACTACCTCAAGTTTCCAAGATTGTAACGGCCAAAGGCTAGAGAGGAAGATATAGGAAGGCGTGTACCGACAGCTTGGGTTGCTCAGCGTTTCTATGGCTTGCTTGATGACATCCCTAATCTTCGGTTATTTCCCTGTAAGGTGATAACATAGTATTAAAATTGTTCAAAGATCAAGTAATAGACGAAAGTCCACTTTTACACAAGTACACAAGTACACAAATACACTATTCTCTTTGACTCTGACCAAATTAGATTGCCGCCAATGCGAAAAGGGTGTGGGTTCCATACCCTGCCGCCTGTTAAGAAGGGATAAACTAGTCGATCGAGCGTGGAAACGAGATATCATAGGATGAAGACGAATTGGTGTGACCCCCCTCCCCTCCATAACCCTTGCATGCGGCGCACGAACCGGGTCATCCGCGTACTGGGCTGAAGAGCAAAACCACACTATAAATGAAAGGTTGATTCATTGAGAGGTCCAAAACGAGATCTTTTGTTACCAATGAGGCATTACGCGGTGCATCTGTTAATACTATGGAAGCTTTGGAACGACTATCAACATTTACCAATTTGTTTGGCAGAAGGAATAGTAGCCGCAACCACAAGAATTAATGCTATGCACCAAAACTACCAATGTAGAGCAAATGTTAACAATAATCCGAAGTTGTTGTAAATGCTTCAGTAATCAGAATCTATTGAAAGATTCCAAAATTCTCCTCCCGTAATTCAGGCCATATTTCTCCCGGCTGTTGAACTGCCGAAGAACATTTGGGTTGTTCTTCGTCTTGTATTTCGCAGGTATAAAAATTTCGGCAACTTAGACTCAAGGCATGCTTAGTGTGTGATCAAGGCTTGTGCCTGCATTGCATGTCAAGTAGGGTAAACTAAGACCAGGGAGGTCAGCCAATTTTGTACATGCAATCAATCTTTTCATCCTAGCTTCCAGCTGGAACATGAAGATGAATGCTAAGACGATAATCCGATGCTTAGTTCAACGCCATGTTCTCGCCCGAATCGACGATTGACTGAATTTCATAAAATTGCCCGATTAACCAAAGCAGAGGCATAGCCAAGCCTGACAAGACAAAGAGTTTTCCATGGGCTATGTATAGATCTGGCGTCTATACATCGCATGTTCTAGCAGGATGCCGTACAATGAAGGAATTCAAGAATAACAAACGAGCTCTGGGGCCACACCACCAGCGCAGCAAGTCGACACCCAGGAGCCCTTCTGCTCACAAGTAGAAATTCGTAATGCATCTGCATTAGAAAAAGAAGTGCTCGGGGGTTGATTTGCTTCCACCTGCTTCTCGCGGGGCATTTCGAAGGAGCAAAGCTGTACAACACCAACACATGCTTGCCATTCACTCCACCCTCTTTGCACCAGAACGGGATTGCAGATTTCAAACGATCTGCTGGCACGCATCTCATGCGTGGCTCCGTCAATTCTGTTCTCTCGGATAACAGCAGGGGTTGTTCTTTTTGACTATACCCATAAAAAGCCTTCTTGAGTATGTGGTGCAATTTCCCAGCAAAGGGAAATGACTTCACAATCGATGCAATGTAATAACAACAGTATACATTGAGAGCTTGAAGCCTGAAGACTGTATGGGTATGGCAGAGAAGTCTCGCCCAGTATCAAAGGATGTCGTATGAATTGTAATCATAGCTAGATTGGGATAAGGTTTGCCTAGATGTGCAGGCTCAACGGTCCAATTACCAATGACATTGGTGTCTTTGGGGTAGGACAGGAGGCATTTCAAATCATCCAATGTGGAAGACCTTTTTGAATGTTGATATTCATAGATACGGGTAAAAGAAGCGTAGGTTGTGAATGGGTGATAATTTCGAGGTTGGGGCGGTCACTGAGGAACGCGAAAGGAGTCGTCAGGGATATGCCATCTATTGGGTTTGGCGCATATTTTATGGTTACACAGGAACTGAGACGAAACGATGCGGGCGATTTTGAGTGTATCTAGATACTGTAGGTGGTTGGATTTATGGATTTGGATTCTTTCTATTGCTCCGAACGATTGAAATATATATATGTAGCAAGATTTTGGAATGCCTGCATAGTCAATACCCAATGGGAAGTACCAAGTATCCATCTGCATACATATAGATCGAGTAATGCTAATCCTGTATTTACGTACTACTTTCTTTTCCAGCTTTATTATTTGCATAAATATCATCTCTCAGAACGATGAAAATATAGAATAGTAATTTATGTGCTATAAATATAGGAATATTTTGTATATAATAAACACTCGAGGAGAAGTATCGAATATTTATATACATGATAAACTACGAATTGATACTATTCCATCTAAACCTATTTCTATTCGTAACGTTCTTGATTGACTAAATATGATTGATAAAGAGGATGGCAATAGGTAACAATGAAGAACAGTGAATTGTATGTACAGTGTATAGTGTTCTTTATAGATAACTTTGAAAGGACAATGATAATATTCATCTGAAAAGAAACCTTGGAATAGCAATGTAAGTAGATCGGGTAATATTCATCCCTTCTTTGATGCCCTTCCAAGAAGCAAGAACATCAAAAATATACACACAACATTTGGTCTTCAAAAGTCCGGCATTAAAACTCTACGTACAATCACAAGACTGTACCTGCATCGTGTCAATTCAGATATTGATAAGCTATGGAGAGTCCTTCTGGGATCGAATATAATATCGATGTTGATGATATTCTTGATGATTTGGAGAACGGTAAGATCCAAACGCGTCTTACGCGACCACAACCATTATTTCCCATAGATTCATGATAGCAATGAGAAATACTGACAATCAATGTAGCATCACGTATTCCTGCTAAGCAACGGTCGGTGAAGGTTTCAAGCCACGTGGATGGACTATGCTCGAGAGCGTATGAAGAAGGGTTATCTAATGCGTCGCTGGAAAAGCTTATTGATATCCTCACTCTGCCCAACGAGCTCGATCAAGGGAGTATTGGGAACTTGATCAAGCATCTTTATCCAGCGAACAAAGTTCCAGATGCAGTTGTCATCAAAGTAGTGGGAGCTCTGGGTCATGGAAAAGCCAAACCCTCTTATGCAGCTCAGGCCGCATTGTTGAAATGGATAGTCCTGGTCTATGATGTTTTGGAAAATCCAAAGATTTTGTCGCAACTTTATGCTGTACTGTTCAATTTGCTTGATACTATTGCCCTCAGGTACTGTCCATATATACCTAGATTTCTAGACTATGGCATCGCAGCTAACATTCGTAAGGTCACAGCTGTGTCACGTGCTGTCCCTCACCACTCGCCGAAAACACGTTCGACCATTTAGGATACAGGCATTGTATGTTAGAGTAAGATATTATACAAAGCTCTGCTAATTTCCCTTCAGAATGCAATGGGCAAGAAAAGCGGGTCACGATCCAGCTCTGGTAGGACTTATGAGGGTATACAAAGATTACTATCCCGAGGTCATCGTAGGTGATGTGACTTCTGGGAGGGCTTCAGTGTTTATGGTTAGTTCTCACCAAATTTTTATTCATGACGCATGTTTTAATATTATTAGCATCCAAATCGTGAGTGGCGGGAAAGGCTCGGCAGGATCCAAGAAGATCATCTTCAGAGGATAGAGGACAAGCTTGTTTCTACTCATCAAAATTTCCGTATATCCCGAAAGACCACCAAAGAGAGAAAGCACGGGTTTCTACCTAAAGTACATACGTCGTATGCGCAAGATGTAAGTGCTCGTTTCAAAGCTCGCGATCAGTTCTAACCAGCTACAAGACTTCAATCACACTAGAGGAAGTAGGAGATGTGAATGAGTTTGTTCAAAAGCTTGAGAAGATCGAGCTCCCAAACCAATTAGTGGCTAGTATTCATGACCCTTTGCTTCAGAAGTTGCTGCATCTCAGGTCTTCGGAGACTACGCTGCAACGTATAGATTATTGGCTTCTGGCTTTCTTCGAAGATCACTTAGAGAATGGTCAGTCCTCCAAGACGCAGATAGCAGATATGCTCGAACTTATACTGCAATACACTAGATACACCAAGGTCGGTTGGATCATAAGATATTGCTTCGATCTACTAACACATATTAGATACTGCCTTCGGCATGCTTCTCGTATTTGGAATCCCTGCTACCTTGTTGGAACGGTATCACAAACCGTGATGTGATCTTAGGGTTGTTAAGCTATACTCCCATTGGTTCCTTTGATGGTATGCCACAAATCGCACAGTATTTTTCAAGACTAACCGAGCAGTAGACCTCTACGAGAATGTATTTTCCCTAGTTGAAGATGCACTCATAGATGGTACTCATGAGTCGCAGCTTGCTCTCCTCAAATTCTACAAAGCTTTGCTCAGCCAGTGGAATCTCAGCATACTCTCAGAGACTTCACCCTCAACAAACTATGGCACAGACCTAGCCGCCCTGGTAAATCACGCCAATCAGCTGGCCCTTGCAATACTGCAACAGTCTTCAAGTGTTTCCACTTACTCAAATGTTCTTGACTTTTACGAAGCGAATGCATTCCTAATATCACACCCAGCTATAACATCTAAAGTCCGGATAGCTATTCCCACGCCTCAACTTGTTTACACACTCTTCTTCAGCTCCAACTTATCGATCATCTCCCGCATTTGCAACATCTTGGCTCTCTACAAGAAATCTCTCGAGATGGCCATGGCCTCACGCACGGGTTCGACTGTACTTGGAAATCAGTCATATCCCAAGGAATATGTCAATCGCTTCAATGGTTTTCTAATGGATATCTGCAATTGTTTGTGGAGATCACGGGCTTTCCTCACAGCAGATGTGAATGCACTTGGCTGTTTACTCCCAGAGCAAACGATGGGAGTTTTGGCTGTTTACATTGGCAAGCTAGAAAAATCGCTTTCACTCAACTCCCTATTCAGTCTCTCGTACTCGCCAGCAACATGTCATCTTGCCATTGCATATGTGAGGGAATTAGAGGACCAAGCCGAAGATAAAATTGACGTAAGACACGCTGGGCCAGTGACACAGGTTTCTTTGAAGAAGCTTCAAGATGATGGTGGGTTGTCTGTATCGTGGCAAGACTATAGATTGGGTGTCTTGAGATATCTGGAGCGCAAAGGTTTCCCTGGGGCTGGAGAATTGATGTACAACACTATGAAGCATCTCATGGCTGCCAGGCAAAATTCCGCGTAGTACCCACCAAGAAGAATGCAATGCACGTTTTACAACGACCTCATAGAGTACCGGCATTAAGACATACATAGCAACTTCCCAAACAAAATATCTATTCAAATTCCATGCCCGCCTCATGATTAAGTATTACAACAATGCTAGGTGTGTGTTCATCCACTCTATCCCATCGCAATCATTAACTCCCGTATGAAAACAAAATAAATCCAGTCGTCACTGCCGCGTTTTCTCATTTCTCACATCCCATCGTTGATATTGGTACACGGCCCCCTCTATATACGTTCTTGCGTGGAAGTCCAAAATCATAATTCCTTTCCAACTCCAACCACAGCAGCTTTTGCAATGGTTTCCTTGGCCACTGCTTCTATCACCGGACTCGCAGATGTAAGGGCAGACTTGGCGGACTCGTCTCCATTGTAGTAAAACCAGGCGCGGTTGGTAAGAAATGTAATGTGTTGTGGAAGATAAAGTGTCATGGCAATAATGATCATGCTAAAGAACAGAAAGAGGAACGAATCTGCAGAACAAGATGTTAGCCACACGTGCATCTCAATTGAAGACTCGAGAAGGAGGTGGGAAAATGCAACCAAATGGAGGGAAAATAAGAGGCTGTCGGCCGAGAGGTTAAGAGACATACTAAATATAAATTTCTCTGTGGGTGTCAACATGTACAATGAGAATGTGACCTGCTCAAATGTGTCAGAATCTATTCTGTTTGGATTTTGACGAGCGCAAATACCTCATATTGATATCTCTTCCTCTGCAGCCATCGAAATGTAGATGCGAACATAGACATTGTTACCCCTTATCGTTGTGAGATTTGTAGAATTGACTCTGTTTCTCGTAGTTTGACCGTGTATTTCTTCGAGTCCGTTTAACAGTGAGAATAGCTGCGATTTCTAAGTCTTGTTTAATTGATGATTCAAAGAAGGGGAATTCAACTATACACAAAGAAAATTACGATGTGAAGATGAATATGAGGAAATCGAGGTTGAGGGAAGAGAAGAAGTGGACGATGCACCAATGGAAGCGGAACGTTTTGTTTTGAGTACCCGTACGGAGTAAGTACCTGAATATCAAATTTCCGGGGTGGACGATAAGCTCACCAAATCACTATGCTAATCAATGCGATGGAATTACGATGCAGGAAATAATTTACAACCACGACAATTTATTTCATGGCAATCAGTAGGTTGTCAACATGTACAATGCTACGAGGATTACTTTCAATAGTTTCCAGAAGCACCGGCCTTGAAAATGTTACTGCTGTGAATTCAAACTCAATCATTAAACGCAACATTTGCAATACAACGCCATTATGGAAGAAAAAGATGCCCGACCGGCCAGCACCCATTGATGAAGCAGATTTTACTGAAGTATTTTTGCATGGCAGTGGGCCGGGAGGTCAGAAAATCGTAAGCATATCTGCCATTGAATCTGAAGTCGGGAACTATAACTCACCATTCCATAGAATAAAACCTCTTCCGCAGTGCAGTTGAAACATATCCCAACAGGTATGGTCCTCAAAGTTCAAGCCACCCGTTCTCGTACACAGAATCGTAAAATCGCACGACAAATGCTAGCAGAAAGGCTTGAGTTGTTGGAGAAGGGGAAGGAGAGCAGGGTTGCGATTGTAGGGGAGACCAAAAAGAAGAGGAAAAGCAGTGCTGTTAAGAAAAGTAAGAGAAAATATCGACTGTTGGCAGAAGAGAAAGCTACGAAAGCAGGTGAGGACAAGGCCGAGGAGGAGGAGGAGGTTGAGGAGGAGGGATTTGAGGAGGTGGATCTTGATGATGGCGAAAAAGTTCTGGAAAATATGGAAGTTCCAATGCAAGAGTCACCGAGCAGAGGGAGTGGTCCTTAATGTTGAGAATATCCTTTCAGAATTGTTGTCTTCACCAACATCCAAGAAGCTTTCTCGGACGTTCGTGTAAAACCGTTCTACCATCGATGGTGGACATGTATATCCGCATATATTGTTGCTATATCCGCTTCCCGCCCCCCGTAAGCATTGGAGGTGGTATATTTATCTACATTGACTGCAGGTCTAGCACTCAACTCGATTAGATTAAAACCTTCAGCTCAATCCAGACGCTCAACTCTCCTCGGGTGTTCATTCATAGAATCCAGTATAATACTTCCAATGCAGTTTTAGTCTTTACAAGAGACAATGATCATGATGACAAACTCAAGTCTTTACAAGATTAACTCCTCTACTCAACTCAATGTTTTCTCTTCGGGCACACCCAACTCCTCGCCAGCCTTAATATTTCTACATTTTTGGGGTGGTTCCTCTAGCACCTATGCTCCTCTCATTACTCTACTCTCCTCCAACTACTATTGCCTAGCTCTCGATTTTCGAGGCTGGGGTTCCTCTACCGGCCCACAAGATCCAGATGCGTATCACATCACGGATCTCTCCAACGATATTTTCAGTCTCATTCCCGAGTTTCTCCCACCAAGTCACCCATTCATTCTGATCGGCCACTCAATGGGTGGAAAGGTTGCTATGCATCTCTCTTCTACCATTGAATCACTTTCTCCTACAAAATCTTTTCCGAGACTCCAAGCCCTCATACTTCTTGCGCCTGCTCCTCCAACGCCTCTGATTCTTTCCGAGGAAATGACAAAGCAGCAGTTGACAGCCTATGATAGCATTGAAGCTGCTACTTTCGTCATTGCTCATGTTCTGTCCTCTTCACCTCTTTCTGAACATGTGGTCAATAGTTTAGCTACGAATGCGCTAGCTGGCAACCAGTATGCGAAATCAGCATGGCCGAAATATGGGATACAAGAGAATATATTGGAGGAGGCGAGGAACATCGCTTTGCCGACATTGGTGTTCGCTGGTGGGGATGATAGGGTTGAAACGCTAGAAAGAGTGAAGGAAACATTGTGTAACCTGAGTGGGGTGGCAGAGGAAAGAAAGTCGTTAATAATCTTGGATGGAATTGGACACTTGATGATGTTGGAGGCTCCGGACATGTTAAGTCATGAGATTGAAAGGTTTGTCGACGGAATTGTGCATGTGGTTGGGCAAATTAAAGATTAAAGACAAATTTGCTGTTCAACATAGTGCTATGCTGTAATTGTCAGGGGATGTAATGAATGAGTAATAGAAATTATAGTACAGATGCTATCGAATGAGATGCAATTCAGCGTCAAACATCTAATAACTCTTCATTAGAGACATTACGAAGAGACAGCAGCTTTTGTAAATAATTCTCAAATGTTTCTGCTATCTATATAGACTTTCATAAAAGAGATTGTGCGATAGCCAGCATTAATACGCATAAGCTTTGCGCCATTTCCATATGAAACTTCCGTACTTGCAGCATGTTTTCTTGATTCCTTGTTGAAGTAAAGGCAAAACTCCCTATTCGCGCCTTGGTGACATCCTACCCAACACATTGCCCCCATACACCATTCTTCACATCTGTTGGTAATACATACAATCTAATCGGACGCAGAATCAAACTCCGATTCCGCCACCTCTCTCAGCAGTGCGAAGTCAAACTTTCCATCTACTTTCGCGATCATTCCTTCTCGGATGAGTTGTAACTCTAAGGGTGCGAGATCTTGGTCGGAATTCTGACTCATGACTGAAAGTACAAGACCTTGGTTTGTATCCCGTAAAGTCGAAACATAAGCCAGTAAGCCATCGAGAGTGAAACTTGAGATTGCAGCGATAGATACATCTCGCAAATTATGTAATTTTGATAAATAAGGCAAGATCTCATCTCCAATACCATAACCTGAGAAGTGAAACTTTTCGAGAAGAGGCAGACTTGTTGCGAGACGTTTGATTTCGTTACTACTAAAATATTCAAACGATTCCATGATGGTAAGTTCCTTGAGCTTAGTAAGTTGACATATGGATGTGAGAAGGTTATCAATATCATCTCTGACTCTAAATACCTCGTCCGAACCACCTCGAAGTTCAAGGACCTCGAGTTCAGTCTGGTGTGAGATCGCTCTATGAAATTCTGTATCATTGACAAGAGAAGGGCCAGTAACTACCAACCGTTGCAGTCGGATATCGTTTCGTAGACAAACCTGCTTCAAAATGGCTGGGGCACAAACAATTCTATTTAGAACCAGTTCTCGGAGCTTCTCGCAGCGCCCAAACCATTCGATGACTTCAAGAAATACATCGTTCTCTGTAGCTTCCAAGTCCACAGTATGTTGACTGTCCTCTAGATCGAGTGTCTCAAGCGCAGTACATCTTTGAAGAATGTTAAGATTCTTGATGGCTTCCGAATTGAGGCTCTGTAGCCTCAAGCTTTTCAGTGATTCGGAATGATGGTTTAAAGCGGTCAGAAAAGAAGGACCAATCCTGCAGTTAGACAAAACCTCAAGTGAAAGAAGACTGTTCTGTCTGAGGCCTTTTATGAATGATGCAGGATTGTGATCGGTATCATCAGAACACACGAATATACGGATCTCGTCAAAGTTGGGACAGCTTTTGGAGATCACCGTCGCTACGTTCTCATTCAATGATTTCCCGTCCCAAATCGTCATGGATTTCAGCCTTGATAAGCGTCCCGCCCATATTGGCAATGCAACTGATGTAATGTCCCCTGAAAGATTCTCCAAAGCAACTGTTGTCTGGTTTTCATCCGCGCGCTCGCTGACATATCTTGTGATAGATTCTCCTATCAGATTGAGAATATTTGTAGTATTGAGGCGTACTTGTGGACCTCTCTTGGATCGCCTTCTGGGTGTCCCATCTACACTTAGAAACTCTGCCATCTCATCAGCAAAGAAGTTATCCATCGCAGCCATTCGGAAGGTGCTATCCTCGAGAAGATTCGAAAGATTGGTTAGATCGAGCGATCGTATATATAGACAGTATGGATAGGCAGTAGTCCCTAGACTAGAGCGTACAATAGATTGCCATAATTTTGCCCACTTCGAAGCCGCGCTGTGTTTAGAATTGCGCTTCTGGATTTTTGACCACTCAGGAGCCTCTCCTTCACTGCTAATAATTCTCAGGTATTCATTATGTGTCCTTCAAGGATCAGCTAAGAGCTTGGTATTGGAATTGGACTTCTGGGCAAGATACCTACCTATATAGCCATTGCAACGCCGAGCCAACTAATTGTTTTCCGGAGATAGCACAATTGAAAAGAACTCCAAATTCTAGTTGAGTGGCTAACTCTTCGCATATCTGAAGAAGTATATCTCCTGGTAAGTTCATGCTCCTCTGCTCGTTAGGTGTAATGTGGCGTGCTGGACTAGAGATGGTATCTTTGGGGTATGCCTCGATTTCGAGCTTCACAGACATTATATCGCAGCACTGAACGGTAGGCAATTCCTCCGGGTAAACAGACGATGGTTAATATTTTAATTGATTTTGATTGTGATCAGTACCTTGAAATACATAGACCTGGAAAATGATAAATAGGAATTAAATGCATGTAAAGTAAGTGTTTATTGTAGATGCTTATCCTTAAGCATTTGTGCTTGTGGTGATGGATGGAGACGCGGGGCAAATCGCGTAATTAGGCAGGACGCGATAGATAACACGTGATGTCGACATTTTGGGGAGATCCAGTTCAATTCAATTAACACTTCACTTCACTTCTAGTCTATAGTAGATATCACATTAAATAGGGAGGCATTTTGCATTTACCATATTCTTAAGAGATTATATTCAGGTGGTATTCATCATGGCGATCCTGACTTTCACACTCAATCCAGATGCTTTGGGGAGATTTCATGATGCACTCGTTTGTCTTGGGAAATTCAGCGAAACAGTATCTATCGAAGCTACTCATAGTAGGGTAAGTTTAGATATTCAAGTATTGTATATAATTGCTAATTTTGTCTGCAGCTTATCTTGACAGCTCTCAATTCAACAAAGTCCGCTTATGCTTCCTTTACATTGGTGGGAAATAAGTTCTTTTCTAAGTATCAATATACGCCACTGCGTAGTGGTCGTAAAACACCGGAGAAGTTTAGCTGCAAAATCTACAACAAAGTATGTCTCCATTTTGTGCAATATCAAGGGTGTTAACTGATTGTTTGATAGGCTCTACTCGCGGTTTTCAAGGGTCGCATCGGAGGTGATGCTTTCAAGGAAAAGGATACTGCCATAGAAAAGTGTGATGTTTCGATTGAGGATGGAGACGGGGCAACAAAAAGTCGTTTCATCGTGAAGATTCTATGCAGACATGGTAAATCAAGAATCATAATGATAAGACCTCTTTTTGCTAACCAACGCATCACAATTAGGGGTCTTGAAGATTTACCGACTAAACTTTGAAGCTGTTCCTCCCCTGCATGCCTTGTTTTCAAGTGAAGCAGCTAACAATAGCTGGTCAATCTCTTCCAGAACCCTGCGCGAGTTTGCAGAGCATTTTGGACCAGGCACTGAACAACTCGACATTTTCTCGGTTGATGGCCGCGTGAGCTTCACCAGTTTCACAGAAAAGATTATGTCCGGGAATGGCATGTTTCACCTCGATCCCAAAGGTCGTTCAAATCACTGATTTTTCTGTAGAAGTTCTGAAGCAGCCTTTGCGCACCACAATAGCCGTGGAAACTTTGGAGTTCGTCGAGTTCACTGTCGAAGAGCAGCTGCACATTGTCATCAGCGTCAAAGACTTTAAATCAATTATCGCGCATGCCGGGATAACCAACACGAATATCAGAGCTCTATACTCCAACCCCTCTAGTCCAATGCAGCTTACCTATAGTGAGGGCGGAATGCAGTGTGAATTTATCCTTATGACAACCGGTGAAGCGAGGGCCGCGTCGGCAACGCCAGCCACAAACGGAAGTCGAGCAGTTTCAAAGAAACCGGCTATAAGGCAGCCTCTAGAAGCCGCATCGAGTCTGAAGAGAACTAGATCAGGCTCCGAGATGGCTGCACCGGTTGGTTCAAACCCAAGTCTAGTTCGGGAAAACACAAGGAGAAAGGTCTCTAGACCTTCACCGCCGCCTCCACAACCTAGCATCCAATCACAAGCGCTATTCATGCCGGCGAACGATGACGATCGTAGATGGGACCCTGTTGATTATGAAGATGAGGACAACGAAATGTTATTGTGGGATGCAACTGTGGACGTAAGTTTGGTCAAGATCTGTCGAGACTACCTCTAACACTTCACAGAAATCATTAGCTGGTGACCCAAGTCGTAGATTGCAAGAGACTCAAAATAAGAGTAATCCCGAAGACTCAATTCCACCCAACGAAAAGTACATGACTGTGCCGACACAACGTGTGGCGCCAACTCAACGACTATCACAAGTAAGTGGCCCAATCTTATGGTCAAGTAGTTTATTAATAGCATTAGCTTCGCGGTTTATTTGACGAGTGATCTCTTAGATCGATTTTTATAAAGAGGAGGCTAAGATGGGGCACAGATCGGAGTCAAGCCTGGGCATGATTCCAAGATATATGGCTCGCATGTGCATTACCAGGGTACAATAGAATTTGGCGTCGAGATAAACAGGCCGAGAAGAATAGGCAGGTAGCTTGTTGAGATAATGATTTGCCCATCTTATTTCGGCTATCATGAATTTAGGCAGATCCAGCTGGTAGCGCAGCCGGTGCCAATATATGAGATATTTGCTCCTGGCGGCAAGTATTTAGAGGATGCCACCACATTCCAGGTGTCCTTCACATCTCCATCTTTCGTTTTTGGTCCGCAGTTCCCGTGTTCACCCCATCCCCATGCACATACTTCGCCTTCCACCGTGAGTGCTAGGCCATGCTCACTGCCAATCGTAATCTGACGCGCGGGCGGTAATCGTGGTGGGGCTAATTGCCCATGGTCATTTCGTCCCCAGCACAAAAGAGCTTTGCTTTCTTGTAGAAGTAGAATACTTCCCCATGTACTGCCAACATCAGACCAACCCATTATTTCCTCCGGTGCTGAAGATCTAATGTTCCATTTATCAGACCCTAAAATTTTATGTTGGCCACTCGAGGACTCCGCCAAAAGATATGTGAACTCCCTTCCGCAGACAGCTCTAACTACATTGAAATCAAGACCTTCAATTTTGCGAGGAGCATGCACAATACCGACAGGTTCACCAATTTGTCCTTTTCGGCCACTTCCCCAACCATAGACGTCCCCATTACTTAAAACAACCACTACATGACTGACAGAAGTGGCAAGGTCAACGACTTGCAAACCAGTTGGTGGAAAGTCTTCAATCATCTGAGGTCTGGATGATCGAAATAAAAATTCTCCCAGACCCAGTTCCCCTTTATTTCCTGTCCCAAAAGAATACATCTTCGTCGCATGACCATCTTTATCCTGCTGGACAATGATCGACGCTTCCCAAGTTGCTGCACACAAAACTACCGGTGCTTCATTAATTGTGGGATCATCTGAGAGTTTCACACGTCGAAATCTCGAATGGGAAGAGTGTGATTCGGGAGTGAGCGCACAAGCTCCGTTGGATGAATCGCCCGAGCAATATAATTTACCTGAAGTCGACAATATGAGAGTATGATTACCTCCAGCTCTAATTTGCTGCACTCCTTCGGGTACATCATCGTCGAATAGAACTGGCTTCGGAACTGATACATCCTCTTTGTGGCCGATTCCAAGTTGTCCTGAGCCATTTGAACCGATGGCATATATCGTGGACATTATTAAATACTGAGTCTCTGGTGATGCAAAATACCTGGGGGTAATTTTGACTTTCTCCGACTGATTTAAACTAAATTTCACAAGTTGCAATACTCTAGAACAAGACTTGAAACTTTCTTCTGTAAAGTTTGAAGATGGTATGGAGGATAAGTTAAGGGATTAATTTTGAAGAATATAAGTCGAGAGTTTGATTCTGAAGTTCTCTCGCTCTCACGGATCGAAATACCACGTGATATCGGCATCAGCATGGTCTCTGGAATCCGGAGCTAGTCTTACTAGCTCCATTTTAAGCGAGAAAACTATCACACATCCCATTTTGCAATAAAGTTTTCGCAATCACAGTTCGATTTTTTTCTTTTCGATACGACAACCTCGAAAACCGCCAATCCGCCACGATGTCTGCCACGTAAGAATCTCCCCAAAAACTCCTTCGAAGAGTCAATCGATTGTGTTGGATTCAGATATGGTCGCGTTCCTCTCGAAAGCTGGAACCTGAAAATGGTTTCCAGCTCGAACTGTCCTAAGCTACTCCCTCGTTGATTCAGGTCCTTGGACTTGCACTTCGAGAGACGCAGTATGGGGTCTTGGGGCTGAAGATGAAAATCTTCTCCCTTAAAACAATTGCCGCACAAGAATGGAAATTCAATGGTATCTCTAGAGGGCCATCAAAACATTCAATTATGCTGTGCATGTTTCTTGGCTTTTTGCCAAGGTTTTGTTGGATGAGAATATTTGTCAACTGAGTCCTGCGATTCTGCCTTCGTGGGAAGAGGGATCGTCGAGGCTGGTTCATTTTTCACCGATTAAAGTCATTACAGTCGAGTTTGCCTTTTGCGAGAATGCTGCGCTATAGCTGCAATTCCCTCTCGGCGCTCTTCTCCATACATATGTATGCGGGACACAAGACTAATATTTGATATAGAACCACCCCAACTGCCCAGCAGGTTCTCATCCCTGAGACTCTCTTGAAGAAGCGCAAGAGTCAAGCCAAGGAGAGAGAGGCAAGAGCCGCTGAGACCGAGAAGGTCAAGAAGGTATATTACTACCCAACCCTAACACCACAGGGCATGTGTTACTCTATATGATGCATAAACAACCATGTTTGCGACTAGACTTTACGTCGATGTTGTCCAAATTAACCATCTTTCGGGTCTGACAAGAGTTTAACACATGTCAATGGTACTTCAAAATATATATGACCTCGAGACTAACCTTACTCGTCATATAGGCCAACAAGGAGAAGCGTGGTGTCATCTTCAAGCGTGCTGAGAAGTACGTCAAGGAGTACCGTGATGAGGAGCGTGAGAAGATCCGTCTTGCTCGTGTCGCCAAGCAATCTGGTTCCTTCTACATTCCAGCTGAGCCTAAGTTGGTCTTCGTTATCCGTATCAAGGGTATCAACAAGATCGCACCAAAGCCCCGCAAGATCCTCCAGCTTCTCCGTCTTCTTCAAATCAACAACGGTGTCTTTGTTCGCATGACCAAGGCTACCCTCGAGATGCTCAAGGTCGTCGAGCCATGGATCGCCTATGGTTACCCCAACCTCAAGACCGTCCGTGAGCTCGTCTACAAGCGTGGTTACGGAAAGGTCGACAAGCAACGTATTGCTCTCACCGACAACTCCATCATTGAGACCAACCTCGGCAAGTACGGTATCGTCTGTATGGAAGATTTGATCCACGAGATCTTCACCGTTGGCCCCAACTTCAAGCAAGCTGCCAACTTCCTCTGGCCATTCAAGCTCAGCAACCCAACTGGTGGTTTCCGCCCAAGAAAGTTCAACCACTACGTTCTTGGTGGTGACCTCGGTAACCGTGAGGAGAAGATCAACGCTTTGGTCAGACAAATGAACTAAAGCTGGTGATGGGACTGGGGATGTTTTTCTTTGGCTTAGCGTTTACTGGCATGTATGGCGTATAAGAAACCAAAAGAATGATACACTTCTATGAAATAATTGATACCATTTTGATTTTATCGCGAAATAACTTATACTTCTTACCATCCACGTGCTATCGTATTTTATGTGTACCTCATCACTATCATCGCCTGTCATGAATTGTAAAGCATTGTTCTCAAATTGGTTGCTCTTGATGTCTTCCAGCATTGATTTGACTACGTAGGATCATTTGTCTATGGTACCTCCCGGGTCCTTCTCTCCCTTGCACAGAACAATGCTTCCCATGCCTTGCTCATAATAAAATTTCAAAAACATAGTTTGTATTGACAACGCACACGAGACCCTCCCGGAAGCAGTTGATAAGACCATGTAAAAATGAAAGAATTCTTTTTATGATATGCATGCCCTTGTGGTCGCTAATCTGTTGCTTAACACCGCGTCGTATCAAACCATGCCATTCACGCCAAACTCAAAGCCCATATGGTATATCGTATCTAGTAACTTACAGTACACTTGTCAATCCTCTTCAGACTCAAAACTTGATGTCGAAGCTTGTTCCGCAACCACAACTGCTAGTCGCGGCTGGGTTGTCAACAATCTTGAACTCGGAACCGATCAACTTGACTTCGTAATCTATTCTGCTACCCTTCAAGGCATCGAGACTGAACACATCCATAACTACACTAGCGTGGGATTGGTCACTGATATAGCTGAATACTGTATCATCTTCGCGAAGATCCAACGTGGTCGGATTATTTGATTTCGAGGAGTAGATGACGTAGGCATAGCATTTGGATCTGTGGATGAAGTATTTAGAGCAGGCGAAGATTCTTCTTGGACAGTGTCCTTTGAGAAGAGATCTCGGGATATATTGGCGGGTAGGTCGCACAGAGACATCACATATTGGAACCCATGGCAACCCCCTGACTGGACTTCGACTCGAAGGGCAAGATTAGGATTGTTTTCTTTCTTGCGGAGTTGTTGCAAACGCTGTGAGCAATTTGTTAGCATATCATTCCATCTTAAAATAAGACACATAAAATAGGAAGGCAATGATACATACATCTGCAGCACGCGATGTGATTTCGATCTTCTGTTCTGTACCATCCTCATTCTTTTGTGGATTGAATGTGGTGATGGTAGCTTTTCGTGTCCTAGTGGTCGAGAAACATCTCACGGGATTCCTTAATAGCCCATTCTGCTTGAGAGGATATGCCGACTGCAAGGGAGCACCCAAACGTGGAACAAGAAAATCGAAGACTGGGCGCGGGGTGTTTTGATGGAATGACCGGGTTGTTGTGGCGGTCTTTATGAATCCTTGAACCACTGATGCGGGAGTTGTAGAGGTAAGTCCAGCACATCTACGTGTAAGAGAATGGGTCGCCATGTTCATCGGGAGCCAAAATCAGAGTATTGGATCAAGGGTAGAAGACGGGAAAAGTTACAACGTTGGAAAGCTTGTAGGTACTAGGTAATCATCAAAAGTTACAAACATTGCTCAGCCATAGCGGTCAAGACGGGCACTATTTATTCGACCGCAGTTTCTCCGACAGAATTACGGAGTGAATTCAATTGATGACATAAGTTAGATAATTATACTTTGTACCATCCAATGAACAGAATTGAATTCAATCTTTGGATGTCAACCAAGCTCATGGAATAATTTTGTATTGTGCTTCTATAGACATACCTCTGAGACATATATTCACATTCATATTCATGCTAAGTAATGTGTATATCCAAATCTTCTCTCCCTTTCTATTGTCGGCGGCCTCTACAAATAGTTAGGAGATAAAGCTCGGTCCATACTCGCATTCATCCTCCAACTTTCATGAATCCGAGGTGCATACACCTTGACATCAAATTGACCATTATGATATGTGACTGTAATGGTATGATGATTCCGGCTATATATGTCAGGTAAGACTCTTCTCTAGAATGTAAGTTATTTGTTCAAATCATTCATCTCTCATTTTTATCCTTACTTTGTTTCCAAAAGATCGTATAACCTATCGTGAGCTCTTCTACACCTTGCTACATTTTAAAAACACCTCAGTATCCAACCCATTTGAACCGACAGCATAATGGTCGCCTTCAATGCTGTGCGGGCTTCGAATGTCGCATTTAAAGCTACAGGCACTCCTGGTATGGTTGCCGTGTTTGCGGGTGCAACATCAGGTATTGGTATGGGTACATTAAAAGCATTCATCAAGTACGCAAATGCTCCCAAGGCGTATATCATTGGACGATCCGAATCAGCTGCAGGGCGTCTACTCAAAGACCTGAAGCTTTCAAATCCATCAGCAATACTAAACTTCCTTGAAGGCGAGATCTCTTTAATCAAGGATGTGGATAGACTTTGCGATGAAATTAAGAGGAAAGAAGAAAAGGTCGATATCATATTCTTGAGCGCAGGCTATTTGTCCTTCGATGGTCGGAATGGTATATTTAGTCATAACCCCCTTTCTATCCACCATGTATTGATATTGTCCAGAATCATCTGAAGGGATTGACATCCCTCAATCCCTCCGTTACTATTCTCGTCTCCGTTTCGCCTACAACTTGGTTCCTCTTCTGCAAACCGCTCCCAATCCCCGAGTTATTTCAATCTTAGCGGGGGGTCAAGAGAAATCGATTGATCTTGACGATCTCGAAGTAAAGCGAGATTTCACTATGATTAAAGCTGCTGGTAGTGGAACAACCCAAACAACTCTAGCTTTTGAAGAACTGGCGAAGTCTAACTCTCGCATAACTTTCATTCACAAGTATCCGGGGTTTGTAGATACTGGGGCTGTTGGTAGATTGATGTCTTCTACCACGGGTTTTTATGCCATTCCGTCAACTTTCTTTAGATGGGTAATGTTGCCTTTCCTCAACCTATTTGCAACTAGTATAGAGGAAGCGGGAGAAAGGGGATTATTTTTGGCAACTAGTGCGAAGTATCCACCTGCCGAAATAAGAGAGGGGGCTAGTTCGGGCGTAGAGCTACCTGCAGGTGCAGAGATTTCAAGGAGCTCGGCGGTTGATGGAAATGGAAGTTCGAATGGAGTTTACAGACTCAAGGCAGATGATGAGAGTGCACCTGATGGTGACATCTTGCCGGATTATAGGAAGAACAACGCAGAAAGAGTTGTCTGGGAGAGCACAATGCGTGTCTGGGAAAGAGCTTTGGAGAAGGCATGATGACTCCAGAGAAAGGTTGGACTGACACGCATGGGTCTGTGGATAATCCATCGTTATGATATGGTTGAACTTTTTTTTGAGTGGATTTTTTCGGCACGTCAATGAATCTTCCACAAGACACGATTGAAGCTTAATGTATGATTTTTTGGTTTTTTGTCTCCAGTATATTGGATATCGATCTGTGTTGTCCAGGTGGCACAAATAAAAATGATTTCGAAATAGTCTTGGAGAATCCTTCCATGTAAGAAAGTAATAACATCAAGTTCAACGAGCACGCGCATGATAGCAGTACTAATACTTCTCAACGTTCTACTTCAAATCTGACAATCAGATAATTTCTCTCGCTCACATACAAGCATCAATTTGAGAAAGATTAGCAACACGAATATGAGTAACCGATATGTTTCAAGGTGCAGTTTCTTGACCGACGTGTTGAGATTGGGGGAATTCCGGTAAATTCGCACGAATCAAAATCACTTGATCAATTGTGATTCCACTTGTTTATTCGACTCAAGCCGTATACGTAGGTTACTGGAAAGGGCCATTGACTATTGGGATGTGGTTCGCAGTAATGGATACTGTGTGTATAAACTGGACATTGAAATATAAGTTACACCTAACTCTGTAGTCCTTACGATCTATACCTAGCAAACTCTATACTCGCTCAATGGAAAAGATATAAAGGAAATGGATGTCTTGGGGACTGTGGGGTTCCAACCTAGGTGATGAAATGGAGAGGGATGGATATATGTGAAATATCGAAAGGCAATCAACAATCATTCACTTCTATGAGCAATGTGCTGGACAATCAGAATATGGATATGATTTGAGTACTGCTGTGTTTCAAGCCGGCATTGAAGTAGATAGTTGTCCTCATCGCGAAGACTGTTAATTGAGCCCGAAATCTTACGAGGAAATTTTCATTAGGTATTCAAGGTACAAAGCTATGTAAGAAACTTGATTGAGGATCCGAAACGCCTAAGATGGGGACTGCATAGTGCTGAAAGTTAATGTCCACGTGCTTCAAACATACTGGAGTGGTGCTATGCCTGGTATGTCCGAGAAAAGTTTTACCCTCGAATCAATCATTATCAATAATCACTACTGAGCAGTGTTAAGAATAATATAGCAACATCAAAATACGTGTAGCACGTTTCTCTATCCACATTACTCTCGAGGAACTAGTGTAATATGCAGCAGACACGAATCTGTAAGCCGAGCCCCTAGTATTTGATTTTAATATCCTACTGTGTTGTAAAGACTTAGATGATCAAATGCTACAATTAACTCAAAGAAATTGACAAACACATGCACAGTCTCTACTTCCCGTATTGTGCGGCGTGGACAATTTACACAAGTGCAGGTGCAAGAGCCGTTTGGTACTTTTTCTCCTTACCAGCGCATATTCGCCTTGCGAGATGATTTATTCCTTGGCTCAGTGGTGCGATTATGCATGTGTCCTATTGAATAATCTCCTATTTTCCTTTTACCCATAGGATAGTGGCCAAGCTACGTAGTACAGATTGCCCAGAACCCTTGGCGAAGATGTTGTACGACGAGTGGTCGGCCTTGGACAATATAAAGTCTTGAATATTATGAATTGGACGTAAAGAAAACAGGCAATAGTCTGAATGTGAAGGCTGGAATTGGCTGGACTTTATTCAGAGCTTCATATTAAAGGTGCAAGAGATCAATTGAAAGTCCGTTCACCATACTTGATGCGCATCGAAATGATCCAGTGAACAACACTAAGTCTGTGACTGTGAAGTCAGTAAACTTGACAGAAACTCGAGTAACATTTGGATGGTTGAGATTAGATCATCAAGTCGGACTAAAATCGAAAATGGAACCCCCACATCACTGCATAACGCGGGACAAGAACCTTTAGATAACTTAAAGTTTATATTAAGTGCACTTGACACATGGAGGTAAAGATCTTGATCGACTTGATTGCCATTGCGATGCCACCCTATCTCTTCAGGTGGTCAATTCTAATTCCCGTGTGCCCTCAGCAGATACTTCTCCAAGCTTTGCCTTCCAAGCTATATCCATTGCTTCTTTGAATGCCTCCACAAACTTCCATACATCCTCGAAGCTGTTGTATAGAGGGGCCGGCGCCACTCTTATCACATTTGGTTGTCTTTCATCTACGACCACTCCCCTTAACTCCAGTTCTTTCATGACCACATCCAACAATCCATCAGCAAGTTGGAGACTCAGCTGAGCACCCCTCTGCTCTCTGTCCCGAGGTGTAATGATCGAGAACCTGCTCTTTTCGAAGATCGCTGTATCTAAAAGCAAATCCTCCAAATAGGCAGTCAGCTCCACAGATTTCACCCTCAACATTTCCATTCCACCGGCAACCTTGAATATCTCCAGAGATGCATTGAGACTCGTGATGTCCAGCACACTTGGATTACTCAACTGAAACCCCGCAGCGCCCGCTATCGGCACGAATCGATTCTCCATGGCGAATCTCGTATTCTTGTCATTGCCCCACCAGCCACTTAATCTATTTACAAATCCTTGCCCCGCATCTGTGTTCTGTGACGAAGCAGACACTTGAGTGTTCCTTTCATGAATGAACATTCCACCGATACAACCCGGTCCTGAGTTTAAATATTTGTAAGTGCACCAGGCAGCTGCATCGACGTCCCAATCGTGGAGGTAAAGTGGAACATTTCCAACTGCATGAGCGAGATCCCAAATGACAAAGATGCCGAGATCTCGAGCCCGGCGTGTGATGAGGGGTATGTCAAATAATTGGCCTGTATAGAACTGAATACCCGGGAGTATCAAAATTGCTGTATCTTTAGCATGGGTTTCAATGGCTTTGAGTATGTAATCTGTGGAGAGTGTGGGTTCGGTAATTGAACCCGACTCCAGGGTAATCATCGATGTAGCAGGTGAGAGGTTGTGATGCCGGATCTGCGACTCTACGGCGTACTGTATGTAATTTAGCCGGCATAAACGATTGGTGACGAGCGCAAAAGGGGCGACCCACGTGATCTGATGGAAATGCCTTGCTTTCCAATATGATTTTGTGCCTGCCATTAACATCAGGGCTGTAGAATGCGGACATTAGAAGGTGTAAATTGGCAGTCAAAGTCTGCATTACATTGACCTCCGAAGGTTCCGCGCCAACAATAGGAGCAATGTTCTTCGAAGCACTTGAATCTACATGTAGCCATGTTGGCAAAGGCGAATCAGAAAGGGGCTTGAAATGACCAAATACACCTTGAGTTGCCCAAGTCTTGAGATATTGTTCTATGCGAGTAGAGGTAGTACGCGGCTGTAGGCCAAGTGAGTTTCCACAAAGGTAAACACAGGGATCGCCAGGAGAGGAATTTCGAGACTCTAAGGTGCCATTTAGTTGACAGATTCAACTGCCTAGAGTAGAATCTCGTACCTAAACTTGACAAAGTCCTGGCTTGCAAATCAGCCGTAGAAGGAATGAGGAATTCATTTCTGATCTGACGAAGAGGATCCTGAGCATCTTGGGACACAGCATATTCTCTGGTGTTCATGTGCTGATCTCGTTGTCCGTGCTGATCCTGTTGCTCATGACCAATATGATTCTCTGGGGAAGCCATGAGACAAAGAGAAACGTAATGTAATTTGAATATGCGGGTTAACTGCGCTATTACTTAACGATGGAAAGGTTGCGTTAACCTAGCGGTGTAGCATAGAACACTGTGGAGTACTATATGAAGAAACTTGGGAATCAAATTGCGTGCCGTGAAGAGCTTAGGGTGAGTATCAAACACGGTGAATCGGCGCTTATTGAATCAAGAGTCTTTTTTAGCGGCAGGTGACACAATCTGGGGTAAGAGAAACTAACACGGTCCTTGGGAAGCTGGGAAAGTATGAGACTCAATGGTGGAATATTGTCTTGTTGACCCTGTTTGAACCTTTGGTCCCAAGTAATGGCATGGACCGATGTGTAATGAAAAACGCAAACTCTTAGTCATGAGATTCCATTAAATTCTCAAGGTACAATCCAGACCCCGAATGACGACAGGTAATAAGAGATGAGGAAATGCGTTTGTCACAGTCAGGAGACAGATGGGCGCAAAATGGAGTTCTATTGGATGTAGGAGACGAAGTTTGAGTAAGGTTGACGTTGGAGTATGATTTCCTGGGGGTAAGAGAAATCAATTTGGGGAATAGTAAATGGCGGGGTTGACGAAAGAATCTTCTAAGCTAAATTGAAAAGGGGAAAGCGTGATTTGGAAGGAAAGAATGGGGAATTATGGAGAAGAATGGCAAATCATGGAGAAATTAATGGGAAAATCTTGATTCATTGAAACTTGCCATATGGAGAGCACTACTGTCCCATTACTCTCTCTCACCAATTACATCTAGACTTTTTGATTCGCTTAGGTCATGAATTTGCGTTGCTTTGATTGTGCTTCTCGTTTTCGTGATTGTTGTTGATATATGAGTCTCACTATTACTATTTTAATATGGTTCGATCTAATTGAGTATCTCTTGAACTTGTTTGAAATATCCTTGTCAACTCTATGGCGTTTTTGCCAAATTTGGAGGTCTGATGGTCATGAGAACGAATATCACGGGATCCGTGAGGGAATTAGTCATTTCGGCTTCGTGTTTGGGGGATCCGCGATGCGAGACTGGGGAAGTGACAAAATCTAGACAGCGAATTTGTGGATTGTGGTGGATAGAGAAAGAGGACTTTGTTCATTCTTCAAGGGCCTTTGTTTTAGGCTTCAAGAGCTTCCTCTTGTTGTTGTTGTTGTTGTTGTTAGAGGAGTATGTATGCAGTCAGGGTAGTCCGAGTGTTGAAAGTAGATTTTGGTTCATGCAACTAAATGTGAATGATGACTCGTGTGAAAGAATAACCTACTTGGGTAACCTCTAAAATATGAATAATCTACTGCATATTGAATGTTACTCCTTTTGTTGTCAGTGGGTGGACTTTCCGAATGGTTTTCTGCTTCCTTTCCTTTCCTTTCCAGCAAGTATACAGAGAGTGTACGACATGCACCAACCATACTATAAAATCTCAGAGTGCAGCATATCCTTGGCTTGGTGATGACCTATATTCCAGAAACCATTCGTGGCTGGGCAAACTGGGGCTTGTACGGACGGACCGGTATTGAGCATTTGAGCATTCTCGCATTCAACCAAAAATAGATTCCAAAATTGCCTCAGATCTTCCTTTTGATTACTTGGGGTGCAGTTACTTTTACGAGATAGGCTTCATTGAATTCGAGGTTACCCAAGCAGCAATATAATTACTTGAAAACTCTATGCATTCTCAACCCTTTCCAGTCCGTCCGAGGGATATAACCTCGTAGGGGAAAGGATTGGACCTTACTAGACATTACTCCTTACTTTCGAAAGAGAAGGAGATGTTGAAAAGCAATCCCCTTTAGGAAGATCAAGTGACAAGAATAGCCATTCTTCTGGAAGAGATATGGAACATGGAACGTTAAAATCCCCAACGGAAACATACTTTGTGCCTCGTAGTCCGCAGTAGATAATTCGGATAATTGAAGTCTGTCTGCGTTTGGACTTTACACAAGCCACGCTGCCACCGCACTGGAGTTTCGATGAGTTGAATATAGAATTGAATGTAGACTGGCACCCAAGTCGGCATGGTAGGGGTGCAATATACCTCAACGTGGTTAACTCAATTAATAAATCATCCTACGCTGCTATCTCTTCTATCAGCTCACAGGGTTGCGCACAGGGTTGGCCACAGGGTTGCAATATCCAAGATGTGCCTCGAATAACCGCTTACCGACCAGCAAAACCAGCACGACCAGCAAAAAAATGGATATCCGCTTACCCACTCGAGCCACTTACCCATTAATTGGGGAAGGAGACAGGGAGAACAGACGCTAAAGAGCGGTAAACATCAATTGATCGATTTCTTCCTGTACCTTACACCTTACTAGATCGTCAGGTACCACCAACAAAACTCCCGTCCGAACAACACGAGCGACTAGCCACTAGGTAGGTAATCGTTGCATTGGAACCTGACCTGAACATATGTCAAACCATGCCAAAAGATTCCGGAATAGGGCAAATCAAAGCACTCAACCACGGCATGAGGCATGAGGCATGAGAGGTATGAGAGGTATGAGGGGAACAGCGTGAGAGAAAAGAAAAAATCGAACCAAAATTAAAACCCTCATTCTTGAAACCTTTTTTATTACTCAATTGAGACTTTTGAGTTTGAGGCAGGGAAGGTAGGAGAAGTATGATTTATTATAAATTGATTCACTTGCTGCTGCCACTTTGTCGTTTGGAACCTTGAAAGGGCGAGCATATCAAGATCAAGATCAAGATCAATATCAACCAATATCAACCTCAATCATCCTTTACTTTTTTGCTCCCTCCACCAAGATATAAATAACAAGAGCATTCCAGTTCTTTCTCGTCTTATCTCGAACTCTGACTCAGATTGTTCCTTTCTTTTTCCTCTGCCCTCTGCCTTTCTCTTCTTATCTTTGAAACAAGCAGCAACAATCGTATTGTGTCTGCATACATCACTCAATACGAGGAATGCAAGACGAAAAGAAGCATTTTCAATCAATATCCTATTCTTAGCTCTTCACTGTCACCGCTCTGTTATAACAGTCTACCTGTCAGATTGTCTGTGGTTGAGCAAGAGATAAGACTACATTCACCCCCTGGAATACACCCATCATTCATCGTCTTTTGGATTATCAGCCCTGCTTAGTACGTATCTTGAGTCCCGCTGCGGTGTTCAACATCCCTTCTAATTTGATCAAATAGGCTTACGGTGACGTGACGATACGTACCAACAAAAAAAAGTCTTCAATCATTCAATACTTTGCAACACGCAATTCGCCATACGGCTTCTGGATCGCCCAATTGAATTTGTATCCACCTCTTGAGCCGCCTTCAAATTCACTAAATCTTTTGAAACCAACCGTTCCTAACCGGGAGCCTTCCATACATTTGACGACACTTCGTGGTTCCAGTAACTTTTAAATCGAACACGACGACCACACCACTTACCAACTTACATCTCTTGTAAAGTACTCATTTTCGAAAGTACAAACCACCACCACACCTTTTCCACATACAATTGGCACTGGTGTATGTGATACAACTTTATCTCTCAGGTACGTTTTTAATCCGTGGCGCAGATCTTCCATTCCTTTTTCTGAAACCCACATAAATTTCCTTATCGCTTCCTATCAAAATAAACGCCTCCATTGCCCTGGGAAACACAGGCTTGGCGCTGTCAGGTTCCCTTTTTGCCAGCTTGAAGATCGAATGAGTCCAAATTTCTATTTCAAACAACCGCCCTCGGACTATTCTAAGATCAAGGTTGCTCTTGAAGCGGAATCGACTGATAAGCATCCTTCCCTAGCAATGCAGGCAATGCAAGTAATGCTAAGAAATGAAGCGGTCAAGGAATCCAGGAGTTGCATTGTCAACATGATTCCTGACTCCTTTTTCATCCATTAATTCGCCCTTTCTTACCGGCTTGCCGATATAGATAGGCGTTGATGACCTGCTGCACTTTTGCGTCTATCTTCACTTACTTTTCCCTTTTATTCACATATCTTGTGCAAGTCATCTAGCGGACGGTGTCATTCTCTACATCACAACCACTAGTCACAATGGCTACGGTTCTTTCCCCGATCAATACTGACTCAATGGGTGCTCTTCAGCAGTTTCCCGCATACGACGAACAGTTCTTTCTTTCCACAGAAGAAAATATGGCTACTATCAGTAGTTCAACACCTCGTTCTCCCCATAATTTGGTGGACCAGATCATCCGAACTCCTGGCCGACAACCCTCACCACAACCAACACATTTCAACATCCCCCACAGAAATGGCAATGGAAATGGACATCGCGTTTTGCGTTCCGCCACTGTTGGATATGTTGCTCCAGAATTCGCAGGTAGGACAGAACAGATGGTTAAAGGTAAGTCAACTCTGGCCGTGATGAATGTACAACTCTAATTCCCTGAAGTGAGAGAGCAGATCAAGGCAATGAAATGGATACCAGCTGAACTCATTGACGCACAATTGGAATGGTTCTATAATGAGCTTGGGATCGACGATGTCTACTTTCAGACCGAGAGCGTTGAAGCCGTCGTCAGCAATATTACCTCGCTTTATGCTGCAAAGGTTGCTGCATTTGCTCGCGAAGACAAACGTCAAGAGATCAGATTGGACATGGAGTCTTCAGATCATGCCATATATATTGATACCAGCGAGCCCGGTGTTAGTGCAATTGGTGGCCCACGATACGAGCACAGATTAGAGGCCAAATATTTGGATACATCCTCGAATCAACTCTTCCGGGTTGAGAGCTTCCGTTCTACCAGCAACCTGTACAGTGGTTCCGTCCCAACAAAGTCATCGATACGCTGTTATTTCGTCTATCAGTGCCAATTCGTTGACTCTAACCCATCACCCAGCGAAACTCGCCTAGAAGTCATCAGTGACAGAATGTTTCTAGCAAAATCTACCAACAACACGAAACAGATTTATCAAGAGATCATTGAGCTTGCTGTCTCTCGTACTGGGCCCGTCATCGAGGTCTTTGATATTGAAGACTCGATTGAGAAGAGATTGGTCGTGGCTTTCAGACGCAGAACAGCCCTCGGATTGTTCAGTGCTCTGAGTGACCTGTATCACTCATACGGGGTAACAAGCTCAAGAAAATATGTTGAGCAGTTCAGCAACGGTATCACTGTCATGAGTCTTTATCTCAAGCCTGCAAGCGACTTGACAACGAAATTCCCTACCCTTGAACAATCTATCCATCAAATCACCAAGGAGATTTCCCTGCTTTACTGCATACCACAGAACAAATTCCAGGCATTGTTTGCCAGTGGGCGCTTAAGTCTTCAGGAAACAATCTATGGTCATTGCGTTTGGGTTTTCGTTCAGCACTTTCTCAACCGCTTGGGCTCTGAGTACTCTTCATTAGTATCTGCATTGGATCCAAACAACAGCTCTCACGCCGAGATTCTATCTACCATTAAACGCAGACTGCGCACCGAGACTTTCACTGCGGATTACATTCTTGAGATCATCAGCAACCATCCGGAGCTTGTCCGTTCACTATACGCTTCATTCGCAAACACGCATCTTACCCTCGGTCCTGGATACAGTGAGGACTCCATTCCACCTTCACCATCTGGGGACATTCTCAGCGATAAGGAACTCAAAGAGCTGATCTCGAGGACTGTCAACAATGAACACGAAGACATGGTCATGACTGCGTTCCGTATCTTCAACAACTCCCTGTTGAAAACCAACTTCTACACTCCTACAAAAGTTGCTTTGAGCTTCCGCCTCGATCCTTCATTCCTTCCTGAAATCGAGTATCCTCAGCCATTGTATGGCATGTTCTTGGTTATTACATCCGAATCACGTGGGTTCCACCTTAGATTCAGGGACATTGCTAGAGGTGGCATTCGAATTGTTAAATCTCGAAATCGTGAGGCATACTCTATCAACGCTCGTTCAATGTTCGACGAGAATTACGGTCTAGCCAATACTCAACAACGCAAGAACAAAGATATTCCGGAGGGTGGCTCCAAGGGTGTCATTCTTTTAGATGCCAATCAGCAAGACAAAGCCAGTGTGGCTTTCGAGAAGTATATTGATAGTATCATGGATCTTCTCTTGCCGCCTTCGTCCCCTGGTATCAAGAATCCCATCGTTGATCTTTATGGCAAGGAAGAAATTCTTTTCATGGGTCCCGATGAAAATACTGCTGATCTTGTTGACTGGGCTACTGAGCACGCTCGCAAGCGAAATGCTCCATGGTGGAAATCTTTTTTCACCGGAAAGTCCCCCAAGTTGGGCGGTATCCCTCATGATAGTTACGGCATGACGTCATTGTCGGTCAGAGAATACGTCAAAGGCATCTATCGAAAACTGGAACTGGACCCTAGCAAAGTTCGAAAAATGCAGACTGGTGGTCCAGATGGTGACTTGGGAAGCAATGAAATCTTGTTAAGCAACGAAACTTACACGTCGATTGTCGATGGCAGTGGGGTTTTGGTTGATCCACAGGGTCTCAACATTGATGAGCTCAAGCGCTTGGCTACGAAGCGTGCTATGATCTCGGAGTACGATCTCTCGAAATTATCAAGCGAAGGCTATCGTGTTCTTGTCGATGAAACAAACGTCACCCTACCCAACGGAGATAAAGTCAGCAATGGTACAACTTTCCGTAACACATTCCATCTCCGTGATACTGGCATCACCGATGCCTTCGTCCCCTGCGGTGGTCGCCCAGCGGCTGTCGACCTTTCCAGTGTCAATAAGCTCATCAAAGATGGAAAATCAACCATCCCATACATCGTCGAAGGTGCCAATCTTTTCATTACCCAGGATGCAAAGCTACGATTGGAAGAGGCGGGATGCATCCTGTTCAAGGATGCTTCTGCGAACAAGGGTGGTGTAACATCTTCATCTCTGGAAGTCCTTGCATCCTTGAGCTTTGATGACCAGAGTTTTGTAGAAAACATGTGTGTAGGAAGCAACGGCCAGGCTCCGGAATTCTATAAACAATATGTTAAAGAAGTTCAGGAGACTATAAAGATGAATGCCGAGCTTGAATTCGAAGCCATCTGGCGAGAACATGAACAAACCGGAATTCCTCGAAGCACCTTGAGTGACACAATCAGTGTTGCTATTACTAAACTTGACGAGGAGCTTCAAACATCTGATCTGTGGAGAGATGCAAAATTGAGGAAATCAGTGTTGCTTGATGCCCTGCCGCAGTTGCTGTTGTCTAAGATCGGCCTCGACACGATTATGGAGAGAGTAAGTTGATCTGACCACATTGATAGAATCATCCAGCTAATATGAATAGGTGCCTGACAACTACCTCCGTGCCATCTTCGGTAGTTATCTTGCCAGTCGATTCGTCTACGAAGTCGGCAGCTCGCCTGGTCAATTTGCTTTCTTTGACTTCATGTCGAAAAGATTGGCCAATGTCCGACCCAGGTCTCCTTCTTTGTAAGGGTCGCGAAATCAGTTTAGTGGTTATTGGAGTTTGATTATGGGAAGGAGTTAATAAGGAATTGTGGAGTGAAGACTTCGGTTGATG